ATGAGCTTTATTGACATCAATATATTTGACAAAATCTCCTTTAGGGAGAAATTTTATGAAGTAAACTACAGCACAAAAGAGTGAGTACATATTACCACTTTTTAAAATATGTAAAATAAAACAGATAATATCATTATCAGTACTTTACAATATCAATATCAATATAATGACTAGTGTTGTCCAAATGCGAGACCAAGACGAGTCTTGGTCTTGCATACTCAGTCTTGGTCTAGGTCTTGGTCTTGCGCAAGACTCTCGTAGTAGTCTTGCAGTTACATATTAGCTTATTACTAGAGAGATATTACTGTATTTTTTTAGATATGAGAAACCTAACTAAGTACTAACAAAAATTGTCAAGTATTTATAACTATTTTGCCTCAATTTACATTTAAAAAAATCGATTTTTCTATCAGTTTTGGTCTTGGTCTTGCAACAGATAGACGGTGTGGGTCTTGGTCTTGCAAAGTGCAAGACCAAGACCGATTTTGGGCAACACTAATAATGACAGTTTAATTATTTTTTTACTTTAAATATTAAGTATTCTACTTTTATAAGTTACAGTAAAAAATATTAAATATGTTATTTCAAAATACTATACCTAACGAGGAACATCTCTGCAAATCAATATTCAACTGATTATAGATTCATTAACTAGAGTATTCAACCACATTTTAAATATTTAATACTTTTAGACTCTGATTTTTCCGGCTTTGGAAATTATTAAATTTTATATATTTTAATTCCAATAATTGTGGTTATAAGAAACAACCTTTTTGATCATTTAAAGGATAAAAATACAGTATTGATGAATACAAAAGATTCTAAAATGAGTTAATATAACTTTTTAATTAACTTATACAATATCGTAATGGTTAAGAATTTTAAGCAAGAAAATCATCTAATTTTGGATTCTTCCCTCAAACTTTTACATAGAGCAATTTTAATTACATCACGTCATAGTCCTACATGCGAATTGGTTGGAAGGCATATATAAAAATTTCAAAGCGTTGATTCACCTGTTCTCATAGTAGCCTCCGAGAGTTTTTTGAGTGTGGTTTTCCTAAGGCGGCACGAAAGAAGATAAATGTGCTACTCCAGAAGCTCTTGATCAGTTAATTTAATTAAGCAAACGAATATAAACTGAAGAATTATTTTATATGCAACAGTTTCTAGATACACACTACCAGTGCACAGCACATGCACAATGCACAAAGGGAAGAAAATAATAATGATAATGATTTAAGTTCACGTAAAACGCCATTACGTATTAATTTATAGCTTGCCTAATAGTATGATATATTTTATATTTTTAAGATATTTGAAGTACGAAATTAGTTTTTACGTTTTACTACAAAATTCCATTTTACTACAAAATAAGTCCACTCCATCTCCACAAAATCTCGACCTTCCGACCTTTACATTCCTTCTCACAGATCTGCCTCGTTCCAAAACTCCTTTATTGCTCGTTCTGTTAGTTTCTGAAATTCCCTTCCTATCAAAATTCGACATTCTTCATCCTTATCTACATTCAAAACCCTCCTATTCCAATTCCTGTCCCAAAAACAGTCAGGTACCAGCTAACCTTTTATGTAAAATTACATATTATTTATAATAACTTATTCACATATAGCTCATAACCTAAATACTTATTATAGATTCGACTTTCTTTTTTTTCAACAGAAACAGATTTTACTGTTAAGAAGAATTTACATTTATTTTTTCTGTATTTTTTATTTTTTCTAAAAGGATTTATTTATATTTTAACGTTGTACATAGTTTTAAGTATGGTTTCAAGAGTTTTTTATATAGATTGTTTTATTTTATTTTGTATATAGTATGTATAACCAATATTTTTTTTTCTTTTTTTTTAATGATCTATCTTCATCTTAACATTTTATGTTTGTTTTTATCTGGCAAGATATAAAATTTTAATTTCTGTACTTTTTTGTTATTCTGAAGGGGCTTCGTCCCAGAATTAAATTATTTTTCTATTCTATTCTATTCTAAATTAATTTTTAAAAAATAAAATACGAAGACAAAATCAAAACTGATTTAATATAATAGTCTCAAAAAATATAGTGAGTGAAATTTTAGCTTAAACATGTTTTATTCTCTTTATAACATATAAAGAGAATAAAATAAACATAGTTATCTAGTAAAAAGTTCAAAATTTTTCATTAAAATGCTCTTTATGACTTTAGTCCCACTAGCCTGCAGAATCAGCCCATTGTGCACTAGTGTTGCCCAAATGCGACACCAAGGCGAGTCTTGGTCTTGCAAACTCAGTCTTGGCCTTGGTCTTGGTCTTGCAGAAGAGTCTCGCAACAATCTTGGAGTTACCTATTAGCTTATTACTAGAGAGACATTACTGTAAATTTTTAGATTCGAGAAACCTAACTAAGCCTAAATGAAAAATAGGAAGAGTTAAATGCAAAAGTATGTTGGTTATACCAATTCTTTACCTATAGTAATGAACATTGTCAAGTATAAGTAACTATTTTACCTTAATTGTTATTCGAAAAATCAATTTTTTTTCCAATCTTGGTCTTGGTCTTGACCGATTTTGGGGAACGCTATTGTGTACCGTGCAGCCAGATAGCGGTGGGTGGTTAATTTGAGAAGGTGATTAACTCCACTCTAGTTTGAAAGAACTCATTTACTGGATAACATCGACTACATAGAAACTGAATATGACATTGAACAAGAAATAGATTTCAATAATGACGAGAACAACTGACATTTTTTCACCTTACTTCTAGCAATTTTTATAAACGAATTTTTTATTACAGTTTAGTGCCTTTTTCTTTTTTATATAAACCGCATCTCTCCTTTTTTTTATTGAATACTTCATACACCAGAGTGTACATCAAATAGTAAATTACAGGTATGATTGCGTGCGTAAACACTCATTTCTTTATATGCTGCTTATCAGTCGATATAGATAACTATATGTAAATAGATAACTAGAATTTCATCAAATATTTTAAAAAAAATAACTTTTTCTTCACACTACATGGTTAACGGTTTAATAATGACATGGTTTTTGTGTGCCATTAATTTTTTGTTTATTTTGTACTTGAGTTTATTAGATTGACCAACATGTTTCATAAACGTAACAGATAGATTGAAATAGGCAACAGGGAAAGTTCTTGGACCAACGGATCTTCGTTTTTTGTCATGTGTTCTTGCACGTAATTAGTGGCACATTCTCGAAAAGCTTAAAAAAATTGGTCAGATTTTATTAAATCAGTTACCAACTAGGCAGTTTAAAACTACATAAACCTTTTTTTGCCTGCTACTGATTGCACACTTTTTTTTTTAAATTTTCATGTTGGATTCGTTTAAAGCTTCCAAATTTTTTTCACATTCTATAAAATTTTCAATAATGAAATGTTCTGAAAGTATTGTAAACTTTCTTTTCCTGCTGCTGATGACGTAATTTTTGTCATGTTTTGGAATTTTTAAAGTCTTCAGATTTGTAAAAAGCTTAAATAATTTTATCTGACTTTATTAAATTACACAATAAATTTATAATTATAATAAAATTAAATGCATCTACTAAGTGGTCTGAAACTATTTCAATAAGTTTTGTTCCCTGCTACTGATCACCTAATTTTAGGCACTTTTTTCGTTGTTTTTTTTTTATTCGACTATAGCCAAACGTTTCCAGCGTTTGACTCTAGAATTTTTGGTATTAGGGTTGTAATCTCTAATGTTTTCAATTTTCTACCTTTCCGCCGTTTATCACGTGTTAATTTTTTGGTAGTTCCTGGACTAAATGTATTTATCATCTAATTGATTGTAATATATTGAAATACACTCTTTCCTCTAATTTAAAGAACTGTTGAAAATTCTCTAACAGAAAACAGTTAAAAAAAGACTGTACAGACTATTTATTACAAACAAGAAACCATGCAGAACCACAGAAAATCATACTTCTAATAAGAGATAAGCAGAAGAAGGTGAGAGAGCGCTACTAACAACTCGTTTATTAGTGAACTATTAAGGTTCGACCCACGAGATGGCCCTGACTTTCTTAAACACTTTCAGTATGTCTATGTTCTATGTATGATTTAAACTATTTATTCAAGATATTTGCAATTGTATCACAATATAAATACGTCAAGTAAATGTGTACACAAGAATATAATCACTTGAAAACGCTTGTTGAAACTACCCACAGGTAGCAATCTAATGATATGTCTATATAAGAAGATCACGAGGTCGTCTTCTTTTCAGACGCCTCGGACGGTTATTAGGAATCGAAGAGGAAGCAAGGTTAGAAACAAGAGGATTCGGATGGTTATGAACTGGAAGGTATCTGGATTGAGCCAAATTGGAAACATGTGGAACATGAAGGTCATTATGGATTATTTTATTTGTGACAAAGTAGGGAGCATTGAGGATTTTACGAAGGATTTTGGATTGTAAGGATTGGATACGAAAGGAATTTGATGGTTTAGTGGAGCCCCATAGCTCAACTCCGTCCAAGTCCAAATAGGTGTTAGTATAGTCATGTATATTAGTCTTTTGTAATTAATTGAAAGTTTAGAGCGTTTGTCTAGTAAGTGTTGGAGTAAGCGGAAATGTCGAGCAGTCTTATGTGAGGATTCCAAGTGAGACGTTTGTCCAGGTGGAGTCCAAGATATCGTAATTGATCAACAGGGATAAGTGGTGTGTTATTAGAGGATACTGTAGGACAAGAAGTCATAGGTTTACGCCGAAGAGTAAAGGTGATTTGTTGGAATTTATTTTAATCCTCCAGTTTTAACACCATTCTTCAAGATGTGTGATGTGTGGTTGAAGAGTTTGGGATGCAATTGATGGATCGTTATTGTCTGATAGGATACATGTGTCATCGGCATAGGTAGTGATAACAGTGTTAGGATGGGTTGGGATATCAGCTGTATAAAGTGTGTAAAGGATAGGACCAAGGACCCACTACCTTGTGGAACGACAATATTAAATTCCCTAATTATAAATGATTTTTTTTTCTTCAGAAATGTTGACAATTATAATATCTTTGGTGGTCATTGGAGCCATAGTCTACTATAAGCGTTTGCGAACCGTCTACAGCCATTGGGAAAGGAGAAATGTTCCTTCACTGCCAGGATATTTCCCTTACGGAAGCTACGAAAGGCGCTCCGATACAAAAAAGTTTCAAGGCTACGCAATGGACCAGGTACCATATTTTGTTTGAGCCATACGTTCCATTACCTTACAGCCCGAAGATAATTTTAACGTTTTATTTTCAGTTTTATTATAAAATGGCAAAACATAAATATTTCGGATACTATGAGATGAGAAGACCTTTGCTTGTCGTTAAGGATCCTGAAGTATTAAAGCTTGTCCTTACGAAAGAGTTCTCTCACTTCAGGGATCGGTTTACTCGGCCAATGTGAGTTTAATAAATTACTACTTTCGAAATTGTAATAATGCTTAATCTTCGAAATTTGTTGAAAAGAAAGATGTATTCTAACATAAAATTTATATAAATAGTTCTTCTAAAAGATTATATTCTTTAAATATATTTATTATATATGTAGATATATATTTACATAAACATATTTTTACGAGGCCTAAGACCGATCCGCTACTCCACTATCAGCTGTTCATTCTTGGCGGAGACAAATGGCGAGCTCTGAGGACCAAACTCACTCCCACCTTCACCAGCGGGAGAATGAAGGCCATGTTCCCGCTCTTTGTGGACTGTGCCCAAGTGAGTAGTAGTGTATATACTATATATATTTCTCTGTATATACTTATATGTTATGTTAAAATATCTCTTGGTTTTTATTTAAAGGCACTTAATACTCTTCTCTGGTCCCAAGTGGGTTCCGCTGTTGATGTAAAGGATGTGATTAGTCGATTTACGACAGACATCATATGCAGTTGTGCATTCGGGCTCCAGACTAACACCATTGCTGAACCAGATCACCCACTTCGGAAAGCCACTGCAGATTTTTTAAGCAATGGAGACTCACTCTTCTTCAAAATTAAGTTCATAGTCAGTATGCTGGTTCCTTTCATTCTGCCTCTAAGCAGGTAAACGAATGGGTCTACATTGATATGCATGTAAAAGAATGTGATAAATAAAAATATTCAACAGTCTCTAAGAAGTAATAATTGCCAATTTCATCTATAATAATGGAGTGATCCAGCGGTTTAACTTTTTCTAGACCAATAGCAGGAAAAAATCATTTTAAACATCGTATTGAGAAATTAAATAAAATTAACCATTAATTTCGGCAGACTACGGGCGGATCTACGGGAGGACGGGCTTTGCGGCTGAAACCTCCTTCCCCCCCCCAAAAAATGGTTAAATATAACCATGTTTTTGGGAAAAAAATATTAAAAAATTATCTCTTAATCGTATTATTGTTCGTGTAATTACATTTAAAAGGACTTTAGGAATCACTTAAACACCATTTCATATAGTTAGTTTCTTTCTTTTTTACCAAAGTAATTATCGTTATTTTTATGAAAAAAAAGCTTTCGCGTTGAAGCCTCCCCCAAAATTAAATCCTGGATCCGCTAGTGTTCCACACGAATAGTATAATATTTTTGGTAGGACATATTGAATAGTTAAAAACGATTAATTTGAACATAATTGAAGTTTCTATATTGATTCTTGGATCTCTCATTCGACTTTAATAGACAAAAGTAAAATAAGGAGTGAGTTGTTAAATAAGGAGTAACGCTATAAAGTGTTCAATAAAACAGACCAATTTACAGTTCATGGTATTGATGGTCCACATAATTGATCTGATTGTAGAGCGACTCAACCAACCTCTTACAAGAGGTTGATAAATATAGAATATACGATTTATAATTTTCTTGAATAAAAATTGGCTTCATCATTACCTCAATGTTGCAGGTTCACACCACAGGAAGTTGAAGACTACATCATGAAACTGATATCAGATACAGTCGAATATAGAGAAAAAAACCAGGTTACAAGGAACGATTTTCTGGATCTCCTAATCCAATTGAAAAACAAGGGTTCTTTGCGTGAAGAAGGGATTGCAGAGACTGAAGAATCTTTCGGTGGGTCCAAATCTTTTAGACCTTTGATTTTAATTTTAGCTAACTTTGATTTTATTTTTAATATGTTGATCTTTTAGAAGTGACCTTGGAAGTGATGGCTGCACAGTGTTTTCTTTTCTTTTTTGCCGGTAATGAGACATCTAGTTCAGTCCAATCTTTCTGCCTTTATGAACTCGCTTTGCATCCAGAAATCCAGCAAAAATTAAGGGAAGAGATTCAAGAAGTGATCAGGATACATGGGGGAGTCACATATCAGTCAGTGAATGAGATGAAGTACTTACATATGGTCGTATCGGGTAATGCTTATTGTATTTTAATTGAATGATTCCGTAGGTATTGTCTTATTATTTTTACTTTGAACATGTTTAAAAAATATTAACTGCTGGAATATAATTCAGAGACAATGAGAAAGTACCCGACTCTGCCACAGTTAGTAAGGTCATGTGTGGAACCAATCGTGATGCCGGATGGTGGAAGGGTAGAAAAAGGAGACCAGATAGCCATCCCAGTCTGGTCGCTCCAACATGACCCGCAGTACTTCCCTGACCCCGATAAGTTCAATCCAGATAGATTCGCACCGGAAAATGAAGGGAATATCAAACCGTACACCTACCTTCCCTTTGGCGAAGGACCTAGAATGTGTATTGGTAAGAAATTCATTTATTTGCAATTCCACGTATTGATTTTATTTATAATTATCAGTTTTAATAATAATTGTATACCCTGCTGTAATACACCAATAAAACTATATTAAAGTCATGTTTTTTCTTAGGAAACAGATTTGGACTCCTGCAAACCAAAGTGGGCTTGATCACTATAATTAGAAATTTCCAAGTGCTTCCCTGCGAGAAGACCAGCATACCACTCAAGTTGGTCAGAACCAACAACAGCCTAACCACCTGCGAAGGGCCTATCTTATTAAAGTTGACCTCGATTGAGGAGCGAAGCTAGGTCTAATTATTTTCATCGCCCATTCATTCGATGATGATAAAATCTGTTATTTTTAAAATTTTATCTTACAATTAGTCAAATCAATTCTTTAGTATGTATGTATGTATTATATGTATGTATGTATGTATGAATGTATGTAAGAACTTAGAATGTATCGTTTATTAAATGAAAATGAACGATAAACAAAAAAAAAAAAAAGATTATCAAAATAAAATATAAGCCACTGCTTTTTTAATGTGATATTTGAACTCCTTCATTTGTCTACCTTGTAAAAATTATTAGTATTTAAAAAAATAAGAATATTACTGAAATTAGGGACGATTTGAACGCATCGATGTTAAATGGTTTATAAAAGGTGAATCAGAGAAGGTCTTCGGTACCCAAGGTTTATTATTAAGGATTTTGTATTTGAAGTTTTATAAGTATTTAAAAATCGAAGTGTGCACAATAAGTACAATAAGCTATAATTTTTTTCCAAACCCCCAATAGCCCAGTAACCTTTTCATGAAAACGGGTAAAAAAAGGGGGTAAGTTACATGGAATGGGTAGTAGAAGGTTTCCTTTTTTTTCTTGCATGGGATGTGACTAATGACCTAAATCCAAGTTTCTACCTCGGCGCCCCCTTCTCTCTCATCTCCTCCCCCCGAATCAATTTTGAAAATCCCCAAAATTGAAATATTTGTGTTCTTTTCCCATTTTGACCATGAAGGAGCACGTCAAAAATCATTCGTCCAAATAATTCAAAAACTTAACCCTCTATCGAAATTTGAGTTTTGACGTTTCAGGATACGTAGAATTCGAAAAACGAATAAACATTTTTTTGTCCGTACGCCGTCCGCGCATTTTCTCCGGAACTACTGTACCGATTTTTTCAAATTTGGAAATAAAATCAGAGGTCAACCGAGGATGATCCTCTTTCATCGACATTACTATCTGCATTTTACTTTAAAAATGGCGGCCGAAAAGCCTGCATGGCTATAGACTATAGCGCATAAACGAATGTACCGATTTCATTGAAACTTCGCTAAAGTCATTTTCTCGACACCCTTCAAATTTATCTATATAACATACTTCAGCGAAAAGAAGCTGGAAAAAAAGTTACGAGGTATTGTTACGATGGTAACAAATTCCGAATAACTCAAAAAGTATACACTTTTTTGGGAATGTTGTGTTAAGATGTTTCAAGGGTATTTAAATTGCCTAAAAAACAAAAGAAGTTTCATCGAAATCAAAACACTATTAGTAGACTTTAAAATATTTTTACTTTCACTTACGTATATATGTAATATATAGTATGTGTAAGTATTACGATCGAGAAAATTTTTTAATCTGAGTTTTCGACGGATTTATACGTTTTGAAGGTACCCTGAGACGAAATGACCAAGTCCCGAAAAATGAACTGTGTTTGTATGTTAGCAGTCTAGCTCAAAAACGAAAAGTCCTATGAAACTGATATCACGTATTTAAGATAGGTATATGCCTTAGTTGTGACAGCAACTTTTCCCTTAAAATCGGTTAACCGGAAGTGCCACTTTATATCAACGTTGAAACACATTTTCACAATTTTCTCAATGGCTTTAACGATTTTGATTAAACTCAGTGTATCATTGTATAATTAAGTGATCTTTAATATCAATTAGGTCTCATCCCCGTTGATGTCACTTTACGGGGCTTAAATGCCCAATGTTCATATAGTGTTTTCCTCTAAAGTACCTTTAATATGGTTTATTTTAAAAAGTTAACCATTTCGCATTATTCAGAGTTACGAAAAAATGCTACATATAACTTTTGAAAGAATTTTATTAGATAGAGAAAAAAAATAAAAATGCAGAAAAACCTGCGTCGCTATAGACTATAGCGCCTAAGTCATTTTCTCGATACCCTTTAAATTTATCTATATAACATTCTTCAACGAAAAGAAGATGGAAAAAAAGATAAATAGTCTAAAAAGTTTAAAAGTTTATGGAATTTCCTAAAAAAAAACACACCAAAAAATCGTTAAATTCGGAAAATTAGGAGGAAAGTTTTTTTCCCTGAAGAGGCGAAAATTTGGATAAATTTAAAATATATTTTTTTAATTGTTGAGACTAAAAGCACCTCTTTTCTACAGATATTTAATAAACAGTCCCTCCTAAGAACATCGTTCATAAGAAATAAGTACATAAATTTATACCTTTATTCTCAGCTCTATATTTCAACACTGCATTCACCACGTCTGGAATCAAGTTACTCCTTGTCTGAATAGATAACTTTTTCAACTAGAAATGTCACTAACATGACATTACTTAAAAATATTGAAATTGGAGTTAGTCATTCTGAAGTTTATAAAAGCAAAGAAAGTTGTGTGGTTTATAAAAGCAGATTGAGTGACTAGATTTTTATTGCCTGTCGTCGATATATTAAATAGACATTTTGTAGTTATAATGGTCTTAATGACTTGTTATCTGTAAGCTTTAAGCTTTAGCTCCGTTTAAAATGCACTTCAAAAATTTTATAATAGCCCAGCATTGCCAGAAAATAATGTCTATACAAGGTAGATCGGTAAGTGAAAGTGGTGTGTTGCGCGCACCAGATTTTTATTTCACTAAATGCTAACATTGTATTTAATGTCTTTATACCACAACCCTTTCATTCCATCTAAGGTGAGGAGGTATCACTACCTATCTTGACAATGTCTTTAAAGTATGTATATTCAAGTCAATTTGGTTGAACTTTGTCTAGGTCAAAAGACAGGCTCTAATGTATCTATTCTTCTGTGTTATTCTAAGACATAAATTAACGTGTTTAATAAATAGCAATAGGCTAATAGGTAATTGCAAGACTTGCGAGACTTGCTGCAAGACCAAGACCAAGGCTGAGTGTGCAAGACCAAGACCAAGCCAAGATCAAGTGTGAACAATGGAATATCAAGACCAAGACTAGCCAAGTCTTGCATTTGGGCAACACTATTCTGCAGCATGCTTACTTTTTTAAAATAATGCAACAAAATATGCCGATGAGGAATGATATTTCCTTCCATATTCACAGTGCAATAGCAAACACAATACTATGCTAGTTTGAACAAGAGTTAACAGATATAATTGTTGAAATATTAGAAACAGGATAAACAATCCACCTTAGGGATTAATTCATCAGATAAGAAGTATATCGTAGTGACATAAAAATAAATGGAAAAACTGAAAGGGCTTATTTGCTAATCCAATATTTTAAGTTCAATAATTATAGTTTTAAAGATGAACTTCAATGTGTTTCCTCCGGAAGAGGCTTTTAACATAAAAATGATACTAATAATTATTATTATTAAAATATGTTACTTACCCAAATCCTAAAAATAATTGCGAACGAACCATAAAACTGATTTTTTTTAGTTGTCAAGTTATTGCAGGATTGTTTATCTAATTGGGAGAGTGTAGTTCCCGCCTCATAAAGAAAATAAAAATCGAAAAAAATAATTTTTGTTAATCAGTTGACATGTTATATAATGAAATATGTAGTTATTTTATATTTTGAAATACACATTCGCATCAAAATCTTTAAATCCCATTTTGTTCCGTTTCAATCTGCCGACTTAGCATCGTTTTGAATTAGCAAACCTCCCACATTTTACATTCACTTTTATTTAAGCCCAAGTACAAATTTTAGAATCAAAGTAACGATTCACCTATTCTACGTGAAATTATCTTTTTATACCTCATTCATCAAAATACATCGCTCCTAAGAGCCGGAAAACCTATTTATATTCGGAATTAATATATAGTGGATCATTATTATTTTTTCTTCTTATAGTACATTAGAGGTGGCGTTAATTTTCAAACTTATGGCTTCATCATTAGTTTCGATGCAGTATTAAGAGAAAGTACCGAAAAAAAACTAAGTAAAATATTTTTTTTATTTTTCTAATGGACATAAGTGGAAAAAAAAGGTTCATGAATACCGACGACAGAGATGTATCCTTGGGTATAACATCTATCGCTCCAAGCGCCACAGTCGCAATGCCATGATCCTTCGAAGGCATTTGGTCTTTGTAGTTGTTATATTATCCTTCGTCGGCATTTGGTCTTTGTAGTTGTTATATTATCCTTCGTCTTACGATGGAACTATCGTCACCCATAATTATTGCTTTACTAGCGACAGGCGCCATGTCAGCTGTTTTACGTAAGTAGAAACAATGTAAATTACTGAAAAAAAAATTTTAAATTATTTACTGGTAAAGCATTTAATTAAACGATTAAATAAGTGCTTACTTAATTTTAAATACATTTTTAAGATAGCTTTGGAATAATAATTAATTTTTAAAGTCATTCTCAACACTACCTGGAAAAAACTATTGATGCACTCATACCAGTGTGAAGTATAACTGTATGCTTTAAGAATACATTAAGAAACAATATGTAAAATGTTTAAATTAAAAAATAATGTAAATATTGGTTATCGAAAATGTTTGATTTAATTCACTTTCGACTAATTATTTAACATAGCATTATCATGGAATAGCTTTTTTTTTGCTAACTTATATAACTATTATACGTTACTTAGAAGTGATATTTACATGTTTATCATTCGAAGGTGAACTTAACTTATTTTTGCCATAAGTGAAGTTTAATAATTTTCTCCTAAATTAAAAAAAAAAATTATTTTATTCTAATTGTTATAATTTGTCTGATTGTTCGATAAGATATACATAATCAACGATTTAAACAAAACAAACGATTTACTTTAATCTATATTTTACTATAAAGGTATAAGTTTTATATTTTACTGACACCAGGAGAATAAAATGTTCCTTTTGTCATTTTATTGTTAAATTATTATATTTGTTCGTCAACGTTTCGATAACAAGCCTCATCATGAAGAGCTACAAACATTTTCCATTTTAATTTGATTCCTATATTAATTATTTTTTTATCGTTTATCTGTGTGTATCTTTCTCTGTCTTCATGTGGTAATTTATTTTTTCTCTATATTAAATTATATGGGTTATTATTACCTGATGTTAAAAATTAACTGTTTTATTTTAGTATTTTCATGTACCATTTTAAATATTATCTATGTATTAATACTCTTAATCCAAATATTGGGACTGAAACATAATTCGTTTATTTATTTTATACTTTCTGCTATAACAGGAGTCTTCATAGGATTATACTTACATGTACTGCCTTTGTTTATTTTCTTCATATCTTTTAAATAATACTAATGAAAACATGTATTATAAAATGTTTTTATTACTCTTATTTATAATTATTGATTTATTACTTTCACTTACGTATATATGTAATATATAGTAAGGTAAGTATTGCGATCGAGAAAATTTTTTTTTTTTAATGGCTGAAGTTAATATATTTTTGATTCATTTATTAAATCTCTCATATCGCTTTTAAACCCATAATAATATAATAAACCATCAAATTAATTAATTTGAAATTAAAGCTCAGTTTAGCTGCTCAAAAGTTCCCATTAAATGGTTTCACGAATAACAAACTCGTTTATCACATAAATTAATTTCTTTTTTATTTGTCGTTTAATATTCAACAAAAAACATGATTTTTTTGGGGAATTTATACTATTCTGGCCTATTATTCTGTTGAAAATTGGACTATTGCATACACAAATTTTTTTGTAGCTCTTGAGGTTTTCTATCATCCCTTTAAATATTTCCCCCTACTTTTGGGACACACTGTATCTATATTTCCTAGTAACTTTTTAGTTCTTCAAAAGTTTGTTGTTGAAATCCTATTGCCCAACTTTAGATAATAGAACTACTATGAGAACTCCATATCTCACTACTTTATTGAAATAAAATTACTATAAACGATTGTAACATCCTTATAGTACTAAAGATCTGATGCGGGGCGCACATCACACAACGTGCACCACTTTCACCATCTTTTAGCAGAAATGAGTATTTTCAGACAAAGGAGGTGAAAGTAAAAATTACAGATGTTTTTCACAACCATCTAATGTATTATATTTATATTTTGTTCACTATTTCCTTTAACGACTGTATATTTAAATTATTTATTTGATTATATTAAATAATTAAACGCCACAAAATATTTTTAGCCCGGCAAGAAGGCCACTATATTTAGATAGATAGATAGAAAATAAACATTATTCTGGGACAAGGTCCCTCAAGAATAATAATTATTTACAAAAAAAAAAAACCCATCCAAAACTAAATTAATAAAAATTAAACAATATATCGACAGCCAAACTCACTAGCGGATCCAGGATTTAGTTTTAGGGGAGGGGCTTCAGCCCGAAAGTTTTTTTTTTCTTATACATATAACGATAATTAATTTGAAAAGAAAGAAAGAAATTAATTATCTATATGAAATGGTGTTTAACTGGTTCTTGAAGTCCTGTTAAATGTAATTACACCAACAAGAATATTTAAAGAGATAGTATATAGTATTTTTTTCTGTAAAATATGGTTACATTTTACCATTTTGGGGGGGGGAGGCTTCAGCCCGAAAGTCCCTCCCCCGTGGATCCGCCTGTGGACACACTGCAAAAGCCTGTAAAAAAGAAAACTGAAAATGTTCACGAGACGAAAAAAGCTGTGTAATTTTTATTTTATGAACATCATATTTTCTGTTCAATTTTTGAAAACGTGAGACAAAGTCCGGAATGCTCTGTAGTACTTTTTTGATCTTATTTCTGCAAAATAGTCTTTTAGACCCATTTACTTCTAACTTACAGCATTTTACCTGTTATGAAAAATATATATTAGTTAAATAAAATCAATCGAATTTATTGTAGTAGCATCTATAACTTTGCTAATAATGACCAAATCATGGCAGGAGAAACAAATTCAGTTTCCAAAAAGTGAAGATGGTGGGTGCTTTGGGGCCGGGCAACGGGGCATTTGCGCAGGGACACCGAACTGGAGGCATCCGTCACTTGTTAGGAATTTTAAAAAATATATAAACAGTATGAGAATAATTAATTTTAGCTCATTCATAAAGCTAATAATTTACGGGTTATTGATTTTCTTTAACTCCATTATTATTTTTAATCTCTGAGAAGAAAATAAAACGGAATCAACTTATAAGGAATCTATTGTCAATGAATATTGAATCTAACTTGTATCCAAGGTACTTGATAAAGACATTAAACCACTTCTCAAATCCGCATGTGAATTCACAAACGATTTTTGATACTGTAGTCTCTGAGCTAAACGCTTTATACATTCTATATTCACATGACAACGTTTCATTTCATTACGTTTTTTTCGATAACAACACAATCTCTATAACCTTCACTGTAACTTACTGGCTTTTACATCACGATTTTCAGGTATTAACTTATAGGTTTTTTTTTTTCACAAGGCCGTAGAGAAAAAATGAAACATTGAAGTATTTGCCAGGACAAGATTCACCAGAAAAGCTCATAACCCCATTTTCCTAGAAAATTGTCCTTACAGGGTTTTGCACTTTGTCTATCGATATACAGTGTCTTCAGTGACAATATATAAACGACAGAAAGTAAAAACATTTTGGGAATAAAATTAATTAAAATATAAAAAAATCAGGAAAAATAAAAAACAAACGTTAGAAACATTAGTTGATTCTTAAAATTGAAATTTAAACAACCATTCCCCACAAATAAAATTCTTTTTATACATTTTCTTTCATGACCCTAGTATTTTAAGAGAGGAGTTGAATGTAATAGGATGATACTTGATGCACTGATCCTATCTAAGACTGCCAGAGTATTGGCGAACGCAACTAATAACTCAGAAGGGTGAAAGGATCAATAAATTTGGAACTCTTCAGCGCATATATGGTGTGCACAGTGGTAAATGGAATTGAGAAGATCATTTATATAGCAATTAAAGAAGAGAGGGGAAATACTCGATCCTTGGGCCACTCCAAAGACCAGCATTAAATGGGAAGACAAGGATTTGTTTGGAATACTAACTGCTTGAGTCCGGGCGGAAAGAAAATACTGAAACCAAAGAATAGAGTTGTTGGAAAGAGAGAGATTTTAATGTAATATAGGGAATAGAGAGAGGTTGAAAAAACAGATATCCTGGATGTAGAAATAGTTCTCCTTGCTTTCAAAGGTATTAAAATCCCGAAAAATCTCAAGAAATCTCAAATTAAGTATGTACAATGTTATGACAAACTAATTCTAATATATGGCTGCGAGACCTGGACACTAACCAGCACCCTAGAAAAAAGTCTTCAAAGATTTGAGAGAAAAATCCTCCGCACGAAAACCGGAGCGATCTGGGATCAGAGTATTAACACATGGAGAAATAAGAACAATAAAGAACTGCTTACAGAAACTGGTCAATCAATATCATATGATATGAAGGAAAAGAGGTTAAGATGGGTAGTCATGTGGGTCGTAGCGATCAATCTGGAAGCCACTACGTTACAATGAATGCCTCAATAGAAGTCAAAAAACCACCAAAAAACAGATGGATGGATAGAATCGGCAAATATGCAATAGAGTTGTTCGTAGATAAATAAGGAAATAGCCCAAGATAGGTACAGATGGAGTAGGCTTGTTAAGGCGACAAAAGTGGATAGAAAAAGAATAGTGGATAAAGCGATCTAAGGATTTGAAAGCTTTGGAAAAGTCGAGAAGTATTAATACATCGTCTTGATAGTCATCTGCCAGTCTTGCACGTCTGAAGCGTCTACGGGCTGCCGCACGTTTCTTATTCATGTCACGAATTTCTTGACACAAGGGTATATAGAGGTTTTAAGACGGTTATGAAAGCCAAGGATATGAATAAGATTAGAATTGAGGGTGCCTAACATATCATATATGATCAATAGAGGATTAAACAGGAATATATATCATTCTAATTTAAAGTTTCAAGATCAGGTAGGATTGTGTTACGAGTTAGAGTGTCATGATTACGGAAAGTTGCGGTTTTAGTAAGAAAAGTGAGAGTTTGGATATTGTATGATAATTTGATGAGATCATGAGAGGAGGGATAAGAAACGGGTAATTGAGAAAAGGGCAAGAGTTTCTGTTCTGAATAGATAACATGCCAACAGGTAAGAGCAAATGGGAGGCGGGGTGACCGACCGGGCAAACGCGTGTGCACATCACTGCGCGTTGCCTGTTAACGTGATAGCTGAAGATAGAGATGAAAAAATAATTACGAGTTCAAATACCGGTGCCGGTGGGAAGTTTAATTCGCTTAATCTCCTCACCTAAAAGGCTATTATAGATATAGAAATTTATCCAGGAGCACGGGCGGATCTACGGGGGATCTTTGGTGCTGAAGCCTCCCCCCTCTCAAAATAATAAAATATAACCATGTTTTTTGGAAACAAATATTTAAAAATTATCTGTTGAAGTATTATTGTTCGTGTAATTACATTTAAAAGGACTTTAGGAATCAGTTAAACACCATTTCATATAGGTAGTTAGTTTCTTTCTTGTTTTCCAAAGTAATTATCGTTATTTTTATGAAAAAAAAAAGCTTTCGGGCTGAAGCCCCCCCCCTCCAAAAATTAAATCCTGGATCCACTGGTATTTAGGAGCCTTAATAATGAATTACATCATATAGAGAGTAAAGTTAATGCTCATGTTGACTCTAAATTAATTAAAATAGCCTTTGGACGATTCCGAAGTGAAAGAATATTTGTATATATCATTTTAAAATAAAACTTCGTAAATGTTTTTATTGATATACTTTAAATTTAAATTTTTATAACATCTTGATTAATTGTGTTTGTCATATTATGTTGCAAAAATTAATTTTTTTCGAAACTAGTAAATTATGAGGACGGATATCTGGGAAACTATACAATTTAGCGAAAACACGAATATAATCAATTCTGATGAAAATTTGTCAGCTTCCATTATCATGGCAAGAACACATAGTTTTCCTGATATAAGAAGGGGGGAAAAAGTGAACTTTTTTAATAGTAAATTATAATTTTCTACTTGAAAGCACAGAGTATGGAGTAACTAACTCATGTTCATTTCTAATCTTCTAATTCTGTTTTAGAATGGCAAATACTATAAATATAAAGGCATTGTAGCTTTAAATTTTGCGGAAAAAACGTTACTGGCTCACTATCTATGAGTAATTGGGGCACAATATTTATCATCATGTATACACTTGCTGTTTCTGTTTGTTTTGACTAATTATTCTTTTCCTAACCACACCAACTCATTATGATTTATGTTTTATGTAATTTTCCATGAAAATATTCACTACCAATATTGTTACTTATATTTCACTGGATTGCTTAAGTTAGTGTACTGTGTGATAGCTCAAAAAATTAGTTACGTATCTAAAACCGATCAACCTCAAAACATTACTCTCCTTGTACGTTGGATAAAAGTCATCTTAAAAGAGGAGTGTGTAATATTATACTGCACTACTGAAATAAATTTGAAGAGACTGCGAATCGCATTAAAAATACATTTATACATTTAATAAATTTATTTTACGATAGAAAAGCAATGTATGAAAATAAAATAAATTATTTTTTCATAATAAAAATTATCATTATTTTTTAAAACATAAAAACCCTTTTTGATAATAAGATATATTCTAATAATCTGATTAAAATGAATCATCATCGGATAAGAGACGGTAGAGGAATCATGTGGACATATGTTAGATAGCAAAATCAATAAATAAACTTTTAATTTTCAACAGTCACAATTATATAATAATATTGATCTATACACGCACACAAGTAAGTATATGCCATTGTACGAAATCAAATAAATATTTGTTTAATAATTATCAACAAATATTTACAATTCCTTTAACGATTCGGTTTAATATGATTTTAAAGTATGTACCACTTTTCAAAAACACTCATGAATTGTTTTGTTTATTATTAATTAAATATTTAAGATTTCTAAGTAAAGTTACCCATAAAGCTCCACAATATCCTTTGAACATCACAAGCAAAATATTTTTCAAGATTTCGTAGAAAAGTTTAAAACAGAAAGTGTAGCTACAATTTCTGGAAGAGCAATATAGGTTTATAGAAATCATGATCTCGCATGATCGCATCATCTTCAATTTGGGGAAGACTCCGCAAAGTCCAGATGATACATACCGGCTTGGTATATAGATAATTACGACTAGTTACCTACCTATAAATAGTTTTTCCCTATGATATAGTAGCTCTTGTAAGTAACGGTACTGGTATAAGTCTTAATAATAGAATTCTTTAAGCACCAGAAAATAGTAACAAAAAAAATGATGAGATTAATAAGATTAAAGGGCAAACATATGGAGAAAATTAGAAAGTTATGAATATCTGGAAGCCCATTTGGAAAAGAATAGAATCATCGAAAATGAAATATAAGAAACAGTGCGTTCGGCTCCAAAAATGTTCAAGCCTGGAAATAAAAAATTTCTATACCGGCCATATGTATATACATATTTATATGTAGTTACTTTAAACTAAAGCCTGTATTACTGAAAAAATAATCTTTTAAAAAAAAAATCACGATCAAAACAAGATAATTGTGCGAAAGTTGGAAAATTGTTAGGATTTTTGCAGTACAATAAATACTGAGTTAGTAAAGCTGGATGGTTAAACTAGAGGATCATTTAACATTTGAAAAAGCTATTTACTCATTTTTCTGGAGAGTTAGGATTCTGGGAAGTGGGTTAGCTAAGTGGTAGGATACTGATTTTCCAATGCTGAAGGTCCCAGGTTCGAATCCCGGCTCATTGCAGAAAAATTATTTATTCTGTTTCATTGGGCGTGGGGCGACTCAGGATAGGTAAGACCCTCCTGGGGCTCACCCAGCCTGTATAAATCGGGTACCATCTATAAAAGGAGAAAAACCTGGCGTTGAGCGTGATCTCGGTTAAATCACCTCCTTGCACAACAGTAGACCAAGAAACAGTGCTTTCTCTAAATATTACTGAAACCAAGACCCTTCATGGGTTGTAATGGTACAGTTTTTTTTTTTTTTTATTTACTCATTCAGTAAATTATTATTTTAACAAATTTATTATAAAACTGTAAAGTCAGCAATTGTGTGTTTTATAAACATTCTGAATATAATATATTATGAATCTTATATTTTATTATGTCGAGATTCTCATATACATATATATATATATATATACTTATACATCTATATTCCATTGGAAAACACCATTACGTAGCACTTCCTACAATTAAATCTTTGAGATATGTGTTTTCTCTGTGTGAAATTATAACATTGTGTAAGTATTGTTAATACATAAAAAATATTTGTCTCATTTTGATGTTCTCAGTACCTATTTATCTATGCCTCAATAAATAAGGTTTAAATTCACAAAAACGAACATAAAAGTATGATTCTATCAAAAATGTACTTACATTAGTTACTTTTTACAATAAACGGAATATATATGGTACTTCAAATGTGTTAGTGAATCGAAGCTGAGAGATAACACTTCGGGGGATAGTAGAAAAATAAAATTTAGGATTAAGACAGAAATTCTTCGCTTAATACGGGTAATGAACTAGCAGGCCGTAATTAAACCTTATTTATAAATTACCCCTTAACACTCTTCCAGGTGCATTTTATGGCATATTCCTTTTAATCCAAGGCTTTTAATATTCCGTGCTAGCGGTGATCTGACCGTGTCCGGTCCCACCATTTCGTTCGTATCTTCGAGAAAGCTTAACACAAACACCATTATTTTAAATATGTCATATATTCATATTTTTTATTTATATAATTATAATTTTGTAAAAATTTCTTTTAAATATAACAATGTTTTTTTTTTCAGTTCATAGTGCATTTGATTGGGGCTATTGCAAGTGCCCGTTTTCTACCCGAGATACTCCTGATCCAGGTATGTTAATAATTATTTTAGTTATTCGATGGCAAAGCAGTTCGTTACTCAAAAATTCTTCTTCACATCTAAACGTAAACATCGTTTCAATTCGATTCTCCTCTGTTAGGAATAATACAAGTTGTCACCGTGAAAATTGATTGCTGTCAGGTTTTTGGTGTCACATGACATATTTTTCGCACATTTCGGTTTCGCTTTCAAATACGAGATTTCGTTAGCCGGTGGCCTGTAGTTTTATGATATAATGACATAAAAAAATGAAATATGCTTTTTATGTGGTATTATTCCTTAACCATTTCAATGCAATATATTAGGCCGAAATGTCATTTCACTGTATTTATATAAATAGAAAAAGAAAAACAGATTCGTGAAGACACAAAAAGGAATTCTGATGACTTTATCTTATGATTAAACTCAGCGACTCTCCTACAATTTAAATCCTCCATTCAATCCCGTCCCACTAGATCCCATACTTCCGACCTCTATCCATCTCCTCGACGAACTGCTGCGTTTGACACATTCTTTGTAACTCAATCCGTCTCCTTTTGGATCTTAATCCTTCCCAATATTCGACACGCACTATTCAGTTTCGTCTTTCAAATCTGTCTACTTCTAGAGGACTCTTTAAGTACCCCCAGAAACTATTTTGTTTACTTTATTTTATCTTCCTATCTTATATATATATATATTTGTACCCGTTTTCTCTTTCCCTTACTTTCTATATTTTTATTTTTAATTAGCTATTATTTTTTAAATATTTATTTTAACGTATGGTCACACTGACATTTACTCTTTATTTATAATTTATTTTAAACATTCATTCGACAACATTCCCATAATAATATATTCATTTCATTTGACTTTCATGATTCATTTCATGACTTTCTTCATAAACAAACCATAATTATGGTAAGATTGCGTATTTGATTGATTTTATTTGTTCCATTTAATTTACGTGTTACATGCGAGATGTGATTATTGGTCTAATCGTTTGAAAAAAACGTAATATTTTAAAACTAATAATAAAGTTAAAAATTTAAGAATAATAGATTGTAAAACTTCAACAAATTAATAAATCTGCCTAAAAATAATCAAGAAAAAGATGAATACCCTGTGAGTTTTTTCAAAGGATCGTTAAATAATATTGAATCATGTTCATGTAATGATTCTATTAAACTATTTAGAACTTCAAACAAAGATATTTTAACTGGAAGATAGTAATATACAACTGAATTATTCAAGAAAAACATCTTATTTAGTTAAGGGATGAATTTATGATAATGCCTGAATTTCCAAAAAAGAAAAAAAAATTCCATTTTATATTTGATATTTGAAATAAATTGAAATAAATATGGCGAAGAAATAAAACATAGCCTTATTTTATAATATTAAAAAAATGTTCACCTAAAATAAGCACTTATGAATATACAACTGAATAGTTTATGAAAAAAATCGTATTTAGTTAAGTGATGAATTTATGATAATGCCTGAATTACCAAAAAAGAAAAAAAATTCCATTTTATATTTGATATTTGAAATAAATTAAAATAAATATGGTGAAGAAATAAAGCATAGCCTTATTTTATAATATTAAAAAAATGTTCACCTAAAATAAGCACTTATGAATATACAACTGAATAGTTTATGAAAAAAATCGTATTTAGTTAAGTGATGAATTTATGATAATGCCTGAATTTCCAAAAAAGAAAAAAAATTCCATTTTATATTTGATATTTGAAATAAATTAAAATAAATATGGTGAAGAAATAAAGCATAGCCTTATTTTATAATATTAAAAAAATGTTCACCTAAAATAAGCACTTATGAATATACAACTGAATAGTTTATGAAAAAAAATCGTATTTAGTTAAGTGATGAATTTATGATAATGCCTGAATTTCCAAAAAAGAAAAAAAATTCCATTTTATATTTGATATTTGAAATAAATTAAAATAAATATGGTGAAGAAATAAAGCATAGCCTTATTTTATAATATTAAAAAAATGTTCACCTAAAATAAGCACTTATGAATATACAACTGAATAGTTTATGAAAAAAATCGTATTTAGTTAAGTGATGAATTTATGATAATGCCTGAATTTCCAAAAAAGAAAAAAAATTCCATTTTATATTTGATATTTGAAATAAATTAAAATAAATATGGTGAAGAAATAAAGCATAGCCTTATTTTATAATATTAAAAAAATGTTCACCTAAAATAAGCACTTATGAATATACAACTGAATAGTTTATGAAAAAAATTGTATTTAGTTAAGTGATGAATTTATGATGATACCTGAATTTGCAAAAAAGAAAAAAATTCCATTTTATATTTTATCTGCCTCGTGTATTCATAATGGTCTCATATATTCATAAATGGAAATTTGGATAATATGTATATATTAACAAGTGAAATAAGAATTAATAAGTTGACTATTATTATTGTAGGGGAGTCACAGATGGGATTACTAACGTCACATCACACTTTTTGGTTTCAAAAATAGATTGTTGTATGATAATTGATATCCTTAGCCTTGCCTCGTTTGGTTGTTTGGGGTCGAAAGTCCTTATGTACTCCCAATAAGGAAGATTTATCCTTCAGATTATAAACCTATTCTCAGAGTTGGTAACCTGTGGAATCTGCCACAAAATAAATTTTAATACGCCGTGACGGGATTCTAAATGCCCTTTTTATTTCAAATATTAAGCATTGCAAATGTCAATGTCCCATTCAGGTAGAACTCAGACTTTATCTGATTTATTGAAGTGTTGCAAACCATTTCAAATACATTTCTTTTTCTTAAAGATTAAGACAAAATTAATATCAATCTTTATTGTGCTCTAATCATTCTGTAAGAGAGAGGATATATACATTTAACGATAATACTTTGGAAGAACAAGAAAGAAACTAACTATCTATAAGAAATGGCGTTTATGTAAATAACATATAATATTTATATATATATAACAATACAACAATAATATTTTAAAAATATTTTTTTTATAAAGATGTTTATATTTTACTAATTTGGGGGGAGCTTCAGCCTGAAAGCCCCCTCCCTCCACCATCTTCGTCTATGCCCTACCACCAATAATTGAGGCATAATGACTGTCATTGTATTTTATTTATTTTTTAAATTTGATTGAAACCTATTAATGCTGTAAAATATTTTGTAAATTGAACCAATTAACGAATTTTCTGGTAAGTAGCACTTAAATTGCCTTATCACGGCAAATTGCCTTGAAAACGGTCAAGTGATTCACTGCCTCATCAATAACAGACCGTACTTAACAATTTCTGTGTCAGCTGGCCACAAATTAAAAACTTCAGGCTAATAAGATGTTTATAATTATTCCTTGAGGTTTTATTAATTGATGTAGTGTTTAGATTCTATCCATCTTGTAAACATATTCATTAGAAAAAATCTTACATACTTGTAATTTATTTTTCTAGTATCAGGAAAACTTACTTTAAATCTAAAGCAAAAGGATAGAGCATCGTCTGTAGATAGATTACAAAAAGCCTACGACTTTATTGAGCCACGAATATAGGAGATTAGAAAACCTTCATACAGCACGTTCTTACAATATGATATGTGTAGGTATCCAGAAGGTAAAAAGACCAAGGATTGGAATGGACAAATGTTTGAAGACGGATCTGGGAACTACTTACGTTTTAGGACACCTGCTTGTATGGTGCAAGGAACCTTAGTATAACATAAATTATATTTATATGTGCAGCAGCATTTGTCATTTAATCTGAATACTTAATATTTAATATCAACATTGTACCAACTTTGAAAAGGATAAAGTAACTGCAAGGGGTAAGAAGTTATTTAAACATTAAACTTCGAAATAAATGGTCACCAGTAAAATCGGCAGTGATTTCACCTACTTTATTTAGCTAAACTAAAGTAAAAAAATCCAGAGGATACATCACACAATATTCACTTACCACCCTAATTTGTGTAGAATTTTTTTTTTTTTTTTTAAAGTTAATACAACTTGAGAATATTACTTCAGTTACATATTCAAACTTACGATAATTATTATAAATTAGGATATTTTGTAAACAAAATCTATTTGGTTTAACATGCAGGAAAAAAATATTTTTATATATTGTTAATTATATTAATGAATATTAATGAAATATTAATTATATTGTTATATTATTATTGAAAATTGCATTTAGTTTATCTGGAAACGGTAATTTCCATTTCAACCATATAAAAGCAGAAATTTTCAACAAAAACAATTAAAATGAAGCAACACTTGTCTTGTGGAAGATGAAGTAAATAAAGTGTTGAATTTTGCGTTAACCAATAACATATGGTTATTGTAACGTTGTAGTTAGTTTCGTTGTACATGTATACATATATTGATATTAATGACAAAAATAAAGCAGAAGCAATTGTAAATGGTAGCGGCAAAAGTAATACTAATTTGTCCTGGGCCGAGCTCGTGGGAGACTCAGCTCATGGGAGAGCCAGGGCCCAAAAATCGACCTCATCGCAGGCGAAGATTTGATTGTAAATTACAAAAGTGTATGTTATTATGAGTAAAAGAACTTTGTCTGGCGTAGAAGAATGGTGAACTTTGACCTTGTAGAAGAATGGTGCGAGAAAAAGAAGTTAAGGATGGCGGGTTCCAAGACTCAGGCCATCCTCTTGAGAGGTTCGACCGATAGGGCACACCCCATAACCTTGGTGATACAAGGTTCCAGAATATGTCCAAGTGAGGTAGTCACCTATCTTGGAATTAGGATTGGGAAAAAATTCAACGTGACGCCTCACTTGGATTACTTAAGGAATAGGATAACCTTAGCCCTTAATGGTCTCAGTCGCATAGGGGGGGCCTTTTGGGGCCTTAGATATCCAGCAACTATGTCCATTTATAAAGGAGTAGTTGTTGGTATCCTGAGATACGCGTCCCCCGCATGGAACCGGAATCTCTCGTACCGTCAGAAGCGCAAGTTGGCAACAATCCAGCGGATGGCCCTGCTTAGAGTAACCAGGTCATACAGAACTGTGTCCCATGAGGCGGTGCAGGTCTTAGGAGGAGGTATTCCTCTCGACCTCCTTCTGCGGGAAGACCTTTATCGGTACATCATTAAGAGGGATGACTTGGCGGATTTACCAGCAAACATTCGGGAGAGGATTTGTGATGACCCCAGAAGATGGAAGATGATCCTCCGGGACGATACATTGGAACAATGGAATCGGCGATGGGTGACAACCCCAAACGGGTCCACACTAAGAAAATTCTTTCCCACCATTAAATCGCGCTTAGAAAAGAAATGGGTCCTCCCGGACTACTGGGTCTCACAGATCCTCACGGGGCATGGGGGTTTCAGAGCAAAACTTTTTAAACACGGTAAAAATATCGACCCCTTATGCCCCACTTGTGGAGTACCACTTGTGGAGTACCTGAAACCGCTGAGCACATCCTTGTAGCCTGCACCAGCTATGAGGCACTGAGGGCCAAATTAATGAGGGATACAGGGCTTTTCGTTCTTACAGAAGGACAATTACCCCAACTAATGTCTGAACAAAACTACCCGCACTTTAAAAGTTTCGTATGCGGCTGGAAAAAAACTGTGGGCCCAACCCACTTCTCCCTGGGAAGGCGTGAAGAAGCAGTACCTGGAAGGCCGCTAATTAGGACAGGAGAAGAAGATGGAGAACAATAACTAAGTGACAAAATTATCAAGCAGGCTGTGTGCACAGCAATTTAAAAATGTAAATAGATAAACATGCAACAGTGATTTGTTATACAATGTGTATCAAGTCACTGCTGCAAACTCCCGTATTGTCTTAAAGGCAGGGTAGGGAGGAAAATAAAATAAAATAAATAAAATAACTTTGTCTGGCGTTCCACGGCCGCCGAGACCCCGTAATCTGGTAGAACCTATTTCATTTTCAAATGTGTGTTCGTAAGTGGCGTAACTAAGCATTTTTCTTGGGTACCCATTCTTTATTATAGTAAACGATACTACAGACCGCTTTTTATCGACTTATTAACATTTCTGTTAATAATTTTCTGCTTTCTGGAACTTTCTGCTAAGTGCACTACCCAACGATGACATCGTGTTGCATTCTCTACATTGAAGCTCCAAATGGCTTTTCTTTTTCGGCAATCAATAATATATATAAATTATAGCAAATCTAGTATTCATTCTTTTAATTATTGTTGGAATTGTAAGTTTGTTGCAACTAAGAGAAGATTTTTCTTCTTTCTTTTATAATCTAATAATATTACTTTTCATTTTCTTTATGATCAGCTGAAAAACGGAGCCAGCCCATTGTTTCCTCCGACAATCAAATTTTAAAGGAGAAGATAAATAACGTGCTACGTTCTCACAATGAAGGTAAGTTAATTCCTAATATTGTCCGAAAATAAATTACAATAGTAATAAGATTACAAAATAATTAATTCCACTAATACAACAGTTCGGACCTAATTACTGTAAAAATTCGTACTTCCATAATTCTTCTCCACTTATATAATTAATAAAAATTTCATTTTCCCCAATGCTTAGGAAAGTTTAATTACCTTAGTTCGCTTATTAATTAAAGTTAATACTTTATCTCTAACATCTGTCCTCAGCCCTACCTTTATAAAATTTCAGCACATCTTCTATATGCAAAAAAATAACAACCACTGTTTGATCTTCATCAAAAAGGTTTCGAATATCAAGACTCCACTCTTATATGGCTAAAAATCGATCCTTCGATAGGCAGAAAGTAACCAACCTGATTTTTGTTTGTAATTTCTTTAAAAGATGCAATTGGTTACAAGTTTCTCTTCTCGAGCTCTATAACCACTTCTTATCTATAAATTCGTTATTCTTTTCTGCTCCAAAAAACTTTTATTCTTAATAAATCTGTTTCCATCTTTAAGAGATACTCAAATACACCAATCTTCGTTTATTAACTTATTTTGCAACTTCATTACCACATACAGATGAATGATAATAAAGCTTTCTCAATAACATGTGCAGATGATCTAGCTATATCCCTACATTTCCACCCAACTGGTTAGCTGCATATGGCACACAACATGTAGAAAGACATTAGCTATATTCAAAATGTTATGATTTAATGGTGATAAAATCGGATCAATTTCTCTCTTAATTAACTTCTAAACTATGCCTTTCTAAATCGCAGTCTGCTCATACCTACTCCATTGTAAAACACTGATCCACATCTTTCACTAATTTTGAACAGATTCTGATTCTATAACTACAGTTAATATTTCCTTTTTTCTTTAAGAAGTCTTTAAGTTCCTTTACGATATACATAGAATTGAATATTTCTGCTTCTTAAACTTTCTATAGCAGAAAAGGTATTTCAAGAAGCCAATGATAATCAAACCGGGGTATAAAAGTTCAACATTGCAGCTAGATAAAGATAACACGGTTTATATATGTGTGTGTTTCTGTGTGTATATATCTATATATATGTGTGTGTGTGTTGTGTGAGTAAGTATTGTATGTGTAAATATATATATATATATATAGTTTCCTTTTGCACATAAATTATATTTAGTTTTTCTTGTACTTTTAATGATTGTAACATAATTTTTTTTTCATTTATATCTTATGTAGGTTTTTATGTGATTTTTCCTACTGTAAAAAATTAATTTCAATTTTCTAAGTAGTATTCAAACCACCATTATGTCATGTGTAAGGTTAATGCAACCATAAACATGTAGCTTATCAGTATGACATGTTGTAATGTATATAATAAAAAATAAGAAAAATAAAATAAAAAAAATTGATAACACGGTGATATATGTTAAAATGTGATAAAATGGTATATATTTTTTATATTCTTTATTGAATTGTTACAACAGGTAAGTCAGAGACGGTTCTTCCACCTTTTGACCCTTTACTTCTGGAATCTATGATTGTCAAGGAAGGTCCTAATATGTTACCCGTCGACGTGAAGCTAAGTAATGTCACCATAAAAGGGCTCTCCAAGCTCCGCGTTACTGATGTTCAGTAAGATGGTTTAAACTTATATTTTTCCTCCTGTCCGTATATTTTATTGAATATATGTGTGTATATATATATATATATATATATATATATATATATATATATATATATATATATATATATATAATTTTACTTGTATTTTGTAACTTATTTATTGAAAAATATTACAATCTGTCTCAAGGACATTTGTAATAGTGTTCACAGATCACATTCACACTCATTGTACAATAAATAAAACAAATTATACAGAAAAACAATATATATATATACAATAAATAAGAATAAAATAAATAAATAAAAAGAACACATACATACCTATTTACAATATTTACAAACTGACGAGAGAACTCTAAACCAGACTTGTCCCTCCAACTGTGGAGGGAAAAGCATGACTTCAGGAGATCACTACACTGCTCTCTCAACGGCATCAATGGAGCTAAATCCAGTGGAGATTGAGCAAGAGAGCTTTAGCCACATAAATTCATGTCGTGGGTGGAGAATCCCATTGCCAGAACTCCAATATTTACAAAACATAAAAGGTCGCGGGGCCACTGCCGTTTTAACCTTCTTGGAGGATTATAGTGATGCGTGGTGCTGGATAGGGATTATGCAAAGGGATTTGTATAATCGGTAAGGTTCTGGTGAAATTTGGAGAATTTTGCTGGGATAAGGTCTAGGACAAATAGGATATTAAGGCCATGGTGTAGGGTTTTGTTGGTTACATAGAAAGGAGCATCGACTATTGTTCGAAGTACTTTGGATTGGAAGGATTGGACTGGTATTTTAATAAAAAAAAGTCTCTTGATCACAATGAAACAAATAGCCAATTCATAAAATGAATAGTTAATGAAATATTGGTGACAGATTGATAGTGACACAACTGCTGTCTGAGTTTTTTGACATGCCCTTTGATGAAACTTTGCCACCTTTGGAATATGTCTTATGTTTTTCAGTAGATAAATCCATGTGATGGACGTGGTTTGGCGTTTGAGAATAACTGCTTTTTGGACTGAAGGAGTATAAGTATCCGAGTGAGGTATAGAAGTTTCATGAAAAGAAGGCCTATATCTAGTCCTGTCATAAATATTGTTACAACGAAATATATACAGATTTCAACCGAAACTTTATTAGTAAATAAAATATATATCTATAGAAAGTAAAACAAAAATGAAATTACTCAAACTGTCCTCCATTTGCCTTGACACAGGCATTTAATCTCCGAGGCCAAAACGCACCAGTTCTTGAGGAAAGCGCTCAACTCCTCGGAACAGAGATTGTTTGAGGCTTTCCAAGTTAGAGTATGCTATGGCTCTCCACTTCGGACCAAAGCCGATAATTCAGTGGGTTGAGATCAGGGCTACCTGAGAGCCAATCTGAGTCAGAGATAAACTCTGGAATGATCTTTTGCAGTCACTGCTGAGTTGATCTGACCTTGTGAGCTGGAGCGGAATCCTGTTGGAAAACCCAATGACTTCCAGCAAACAGAGAGGTTCCAAAATATCGTCCTATTAGTTTTTTTGCGGCTGTTTTAACACCTTTTTCATAAAAATGGAGCTTTGGGGTGCCATCAAAGCTAACTTCCCACCAAACCATCACTGAGGAAGGGCAATGAACTCTTTCCAATCTTCCAATTACAAAATAATGACAAAAGTTCAACTTTCGTAACAGTTTAATGGCAGAACTAGGTATATTGTCATTATTTGTTAATGCCTACTTCTAATCCTTCAATAATATCTTGTTCAGAAAGCTGTTGACTTTGACTCGTTATTTCTTAGAACATACAAGTTTAAGATAGAAATCAAGGCTTCAGTGATCTTGGGATGTTGACCTTCAAAAGACACGAACACAACTAGCTAAACAATCACAGACACGGGCAGATATATGGGGGAGGGGGAGGGCTTTCGGGCTGAAGCCCCCCCAAAATGGAAAAATATAACCATGTTTTATGGGCAAAAAAATTTAAATAAATACCTCTTAAAGTGTAATTAAATTTAAAAGTACTTTAGGAATAACTTAAACACCATTTCATGTAGGTAGTTTAGTCTTTCTGTTTTTCCAAAGTAATTATCATTATTTTTATGAAAAAAAAAAGGTTTCGGGCTGAAGCCCCCCCCAAAATTAAATCCTGGATCCGCAAGTGATCACAGATAATACGTAGTTATATGCGATTTGAATACAAAAATTAATTTAACTTTACTTACTACTTTAAATATATACAGGGTGTTTCGTAAGTAGAGGGAAATTTTGATAGGAGCCATAGCAGATCTTAATATATACAAAAAAGTTTATATAACCAATTTGCCAATTTTCAGCAGATTTCTTTTTTTTTTTTTTTAAAGAGAGTCGCGTTTTTTTATTTAAACATTGAATAGGAAGCGATAACTAAAGAAATATTTATTTTTAATCTACTTTAGTTGAAAGGGCAGTTTATCATTACTAAAACCATTTAAAGATGACAAACCAAACTAAGTTCTGTCTTCTAAAAAATCATAAATTATTCGCGATTTTTTTTTATTATCATCCAACTATACTACTGTTACTCCAATTTTAGAAAAACTAACTAGCTTGACAAGGCTTAAGTTTATATCTATCACGTTGAGGTTTATTAGGCAAAATTTTGAGATTCTCCTCAAGTTTTGTACAGAAATGAGGTGATTTGAGGTGTGCTATCACTCCTATCAAGATTTCTCTCTACTCAATCGTAGATTATATATGTATATAATGTAATTAAAAATAATAAACTACATTGGTTTAGAAAAATCTTTGTTTTCCACTTAGTTTACTTTCATGGAATCCCCATAACTAGAAAACGAAGATAATATTCGCGTAGGGGATTCATATGTTTTTTCTGGAATATAACAGTCCCGATTTTTAAGAGATTATTACATATAGTCTTATCAAGGAAAAGATAAGATAAGATCTTACTCCTATGCAAAAGAAGTGACAAGATCGTTTTGTTTAAGGGGATTTCCACCCTCTCATGCTAATTTGGCTATATAGATGTATGTAGTTGTGGGATATTAAGGATGAATGGCGCAAGATGTGCTATTAACATTTCTGAAAGGTGCACATTTCACATCGAAGGTGTTAAAAGAATTGCTATAAATTTTTCGAAATTTTGCGGGTTGTTACCAAACGATTCTAAATAGTTTATCATTATTTAATCATTCTATATCAAATTTATTATTATTTATCTTTTCGACCTTTATTCTATAAGTACATATATATAATATTGCAATATGTGTATTAATCAACCTTTATATTTATTATAATTTAAGTTTGTAATTATAGTCGTAAATAGGTCGTGAAACACACTTCAATAAACTAAAATAGCTCCTGTTTATTCTTTTTTTATACAAAATGTTCCGATTCCTGTTTTCCTAAACAAATAATGGGATCCTCTTCAGTTCTGGAAAAACAACACCCATTACTGGTACAACAATTAAAAGTTTTTACACGTTCTAAGAATAATCCTAAGATAACAATAAAATAAAATATACATAACCAGTCATTACATACATGATTATTGAGCGTTATGACTAGAGACCGGATTCCCATGTCATAGCACTTTTTATTCTCTTGCGTGTAAAAACTTCGGACCCGAATATTAATCCGTTTTAGGACCTGTAGAATAACATATTTAAATTTTATATTGCACGTTTTGCCGTTTTTGGCTTAAATTGCACGATTTTGATTTTTGTGCTAAATTAGACGATTTATAAACACAACTGTATAAGTGAGTGTGTTATCTTACTATATTATTCAAATTAAATTCATTGTTCAAAATAGAAAATATGAGGAAGACAAATAATTCTGTGTAAAGCAAAAATCGTATTAATTACAAAAAGAAGTGAGATTTATTCTTGGAATAGAACTTGCTTAAAGTATTGGATATTAAAAAGCTGCTTTCCTGGAATTACCTGCTTTATTAGTTAGAAAGACATTTATAGTTATTCATAATTGGTAATTGGTTGACTGTCGTGGATAATGAAGAGATGAATAGTTGGGGTGCTCAGTCAAAAAAGGAAGGCAAAAATAAATTATAATATTTATTTTTTACATCTGCCGACGTTTCGACCTGAAGTTCAGGCCATCATCAGGGCTAAGAAAATAACCAGATAACAAGGTATGAGAAACTTAAGTAATGATGGTAAAAAAGATAATAACAAAAAAAAGTGAGAAAATAAAATAAATTAGATCTAGATAAAACAGATCTAGATAAAAGAAAAATAAAATAGATAGATATAAAGTAAAATAAAATTGTTAGAATAATGACTAAGAACTAAGAGATAAATAATACAGACTGTTACATAGTGTGGAATGATGAAGTAGGCATAATCAAAAAAGGGGGTGACAAAAGTGTTACATTGGGAATCTTAGAATAAAATGTAAAAACATAAAAAAGAAATATAAAGTTATATAAGAAATGAGAATAAAATAAATAGTAAAATGAAAACATTGAGAATGGAGTAGTTTGATAGATAGATACTCCATTCTCAATGTTTTCATTTTACTATTTATTTTATTCTCATTTCTTATATAACTTTATATTTCTTTTTTATGTTTTTACATTTTATTCTAAGATTCCCAATGTAACACTTTTGTCACCCCCTTTTTTGATTATGCCTACTTCATCATTCCACACTATGTAACAGTCTGTATTATTTATCTCTTAGTTCTTAGTCATTATTCTAACAATTTTATTTTACTTTATATCTATCTATTTTATTTTTCTTTTATCTAGATCTATTTTATCTAGATCTAATCTATTTTATTTTCTCACTTTTTTTTGTTATTATCTTTTTTACCATCATTACTTAAGTTTCTCATACCTTGTTATCTGGTTATTTTCTTAGCCCTGATGATGGCCTGAACTTCAGGTCGAAACGTCGGCAGATGTAAAAAATAAATATTATAATTTATTTTTGCCTTCCTTTTTTGACTGAGCACCCCAACTATTCATCTCTTCTTTATAGTTATTGTTTTGGCTTGAATCCTCACTCATCGTTCAACCCTTCAGTATCTCTTCTGGCTTTAAATTGATTTGCAGAAATTTCATTATAAAAAAAAAATTGATAATGCTAAAAGAAAAACCTAGTCTCTTCATAAAAATTAAAATATGGATATAAAAATACTCTGATTTGAAATGTGAGGACAAAGAATTTGATGAGAAAGTTCTATATATCTTATGAACAATCAACCAGGCGATAGAAAATCACTGATAGACTCTCATGGTGAAACACGTAAGAAAAACATATTCCTACCAAACAATTATTTTTTTTTTTTTTGAGGAGTTGTAGAACGTAATCCTCCAAAATATTTTATTTAGTGATATAGGAAAACAGCTTCAACACTAATATTTGTATAATATCGTCTATTACAATGTTGTTAAAAAATCCTTTAAATTTTAACAAAAGCGTTTTGGAATGTATAATATTGGAAATTTCAACCCTATTAAAAAATAAAATTTTCATTATTATTTTTAAAAATAGTTAAATATCCAAAATTTGGTCTGGTCTATATACTATATAAGTATCTATTATTCCTTCCTTCATTTATTCCTTCAAACCTTCAATGTTCTGTATTATTTGATAATAATCGTTATTATAATAGTTGATTATAATCTCAGGTACTCAGGTATTAGAGGTAATGAGGTAGCCGATATCATGGCAAAACAAGCAATTACAGAAGGAACTCCAGTAGGGGATGCTTTACCAAATGAAGTAATAGCTTTGGTGAAGCGAAAGGCTCTAGAAAAATGGCAGGGTCTCTGGCATGTGTTAAGAGGCAATAAGTTGAGAGTGATCAAATCGAGCGGACCTTCAGATAAATAGAAGAGAAGAAATAATCCTGACAAGGCTCCAAATCGGCCACTCACGGCTAACCCATGAGTAACTAATGACAAAGGGGACGCCCCTTCAGTGTCTCTGCTGTGGGGTCAATTTAACAGTCAGGCACATTTTTACTGAATGTTATGGATATGAAACACAACGGAATGAAGTCGAATTGGAGAATGATATAAGTGAAATTTCGAACAACACCTCCAAAATGGCAAAAAAATGATTTACATTTCTTCAAATAACGCACCTATACAACAAAATTTAAAATTTGCTGACTCTTTTTTTTTTTATTTTAAATATTTTATGCTTTCAATTTATTGTTTAATTTAATTTCATCTAAAATTAATGTAAAATAAATATTTTGTAAGGGCTAAAATGACCCGTAAGAAGTTGAGGAGCCCCGCCATTGTGATAAATAAATAAATAAAATATAATCTGGAATTTCACTTTCAAGGTAACATTTCAATTTTTTTTTTTCTAAAAATCTCTCGGTTAACTGAAGGTCTGATAAGATTTCGATGAATTAATGTTATAAATTAAATAATATTGATGATTTTACACGTTTTTAAGTGTCAACGTATTTTGGATTTTACTGCACGATTTTGCACATTTTGAGTTTTTTACTGCACGTTTTCCGAATTTTTACTACTCGAAAATCCGGTATCTAGTTATGACAATAATAATGTCAGGATCTGACTGGCTGTGTATATTTATTGTGTATAACTTGTGTATTAGTTTTAGCAATTTGACGTTGTTATAAATACATGTGAGATTGTTTTAATTCATTGCTTTTGGCAATTTTAATTTTAATGTTTTAATTACAATATTGTTGTGTACACAATTGTTATTGGTATTGATATTATTATCGGGCTCCTGGATCGGGGTGCGCCTAGCGGCCAGTAAGCTGACGTCCTCGTAAGGAGTTTTGATAGTTGTTGCTGTCAGGTCAGCGTGCGATTGTTGTATCAGTTGTGGGTATTGTTTTTCCAGAACTCAATAGGATCCCATTATTTATTTAAAAACCAGGGATCGAAACGTTTAGAATAAATAAGAGCTATTTTAATTTATTGGAATGTCTTTCATGACCTATATCCGACTATAATTACTATCTTAAAATGTGAATATAGCAGAAACAAATTGAAGAAACTGGAGATCACTTACTTCATAGACAAGCTGGAGATTGAAGGAAACTACGATTTGAATGCCAGTTTCATGATAATGCCAATCTCCCTAAGCGGTCCATGTTCGTTCATTTATGGTCAGTATTTATATTTATTTTATTTCACAAATAATTTTTCAACTTATATGACGTAAATAGAAAAAAAGAGCATGTTTTAGTATTGTCATATTATCAACTTGATTGATCAATAGAAATGCTCTTTTTTAATTTTTCTATTATTATTGCCTGATTATATTTATTTTGTGTGTTTCATAATTTTATTTTAGAAAATATGACAGTAACTCTAGCTGCTGATTTGAAGGAAGTAATAGAAGAAGGGAATAATTTTTATCAAGTGGAAAATATGGTCGTAACTAATAATCCGGAGAAATTTACTATGAACGTAAAAAATCTCGTCAGTGGGGAGGAAGCGTTCGGTAAAACTATTTTAATAAATATTAATATTGATTAAAATAATATTATCAATATTACCGCATAATAATATGGACCCATTTGTAAATTCATTTTATAATATGAAAATAACTGATTTATTTTCAGACAGCATCATGAACAAGTTCCTGAACAAGCATTTCAAGCCCTTGATTATCGAAGCAATGTCTCAAGCGCATGAGGCGTTGTATCTTGGCATAGCTAACATGATTTTGTCGCAAATGCCAATCAACACTTCCGATCCAAACCGCAATAGTGATAATATAACCAACAACCCAGCAAACAAGAATGAATCCAATTTGTGAAAATTCGATTAAATTATAATTATGAAAAAAAAAAAATGTTCTTTCTTCATTTATTAGGTTACTCATTTTAATTAAAATAGTAAAATGTTTTTAATAATTAATTAATAACTGTACTGCTACCATTAATGTAAACTGTAAAGCTCTTTATTTTAAGGATAAAACAAATTAGTAAAATTATTGACAACGTTTTATGAAATTAAAATATAAAATTCATATAGCTATTTAGCAATCAACACTCCTTCCAATTTGTCCATTTTCAAACAAATTTACCCGTACAACACGATAGTCTAAAAAAATTTGTTTATATTTTCTCCATATAAAAGCGATACTTAAATTCTTAAAGTTGCCAAAAAAAACATTAAGCAGGTTATGATAAGAAGCACCCATCTAATCAATGTTTACGTCGGCTCAAGGGGATAAAGAACTGGTGAAAATGCCACGGGCCTCGAATTTGAGGCTGAAGACTCAGTAGTATTACAAAAAAAAAAATTAAAAATCTTCAATTTTTCCTGATTTCCATTAAAAACCAAAATAGGTATATTTCAAACAAAATAACTCTGCTATAAAAATGTCTACGCAACAAAAAAAAAAAAAAAAAAGAGAAAAAGAAAAGAAAAAAAGAAAAGAAAAAAAGACTGCCACAAAAAGAAGTGATAATAAAATACTTGGATAAAGACCTCGACGCTCTCTCTTTGAGCCGAAGAGTAAGGATATTTTTTGACACACAAAGGATATCCTCCGTGTTTCTTTCCAGAAACACGTTCAGCTGAGTTATGACAATCATTAATTTTTGCAACCAGTGGAATGCATTGATTGGAGCTAATCACATCTGCTTAGGAGATATCGAAGCTAAAATTGGGCGGTGTATCTGATTGGACCAACACGAGTATCGGTTCTGCTCATTTGTTTTTGATGATTATTACAACTGCTACCACGAAAAGCAGTTAAAAACAGTTTCATTTCCATTTAACCCGAAGTGACAAGGACCTAAGAATGTATCCCGCTGATTTAGTCATTAATGACCACCATTCTTCAGATGATCATGACCCTTATTAAATCGTAGAAAGAAGTCTCGTATATTATATCTACGGTGTTCTAACGATACTCCCAACGGAGACTATGTTGAGAATATCACATCTTTAAACCGTGAATAAGAAGCAAAGGAGGCCTAAAAACCTATTCTGTCACGAGTCTCAAAAATTATTCTTACGTTACTGGGACAAAGCCTAAAAATTTCTCAAGTTCAGGATCTTATTCCCATCCGTTCGAACGCTTTTGTTATCTTAGTCGCAACGCTTTTGATAATTAAGTCAAGAAATTTAGCAATTTATAAAATACTTGCAATAAATATTAATTATTAGAAACATTTTAATATCCCAATTTAAATAAGTAACCTAATAAAAGGTGTATAAATACATTGTTAAATTTATTTATTAAATATTGTTAATCTATAATAATTAATTTAAAAATATATACATATTTATTGTAATATTAAAGAAAAGAAATTAATTCATACATATATATATATATATTTATTATTATTTTATATTTTTATATTAAGTAAATTATTTAATTTTGTGTAAATGACATATATAAACATTTATATTATTGTTAGTTAAACTTTCTTTAAAATAATTTACTATTCATATTATTACATTGAATACTAATATTTATAAAAATTGCGAATGTCTTTAAATTACTAAAATTACAGTCGATTTTATTAATTAATCTGATAGCTTTAAGAAACGTTTTAAATTCATTTCGTGCATTATATATGGCTGTAATTATTCCTCTGAGTCACTCAATAAACAATTAGTGAAAAAGTAGTTGATTTCTTAAAACAAGTGTTATTTAATACACAATTGCCTCGATAAAACAGTTTATGATAAGATTGTTTGATAACTGGTTATATCTAAATACGCTTTTTTTCATTCAGCTATTCTCATTGAAGCAGGTCCACACATTCAACGGTAAGTACGTTTTGAGATTTAATAAGTATATAAGTATGACTGTATTTTTATGTTTTTGATTTACTTATATTTAGGTTATTTATTTTTTTATTGTATATAGTTTTTATTTATTATTATTTAGTTATTATTTTACTTTTGTTAATTTTGTTTCTTTTTTGTATATACGGTGTGAATGTGTTCATTTATCAATATAATTATTGTCCCTGTGACAGAATATTGTATGTCTAAATAAATAAATAAATAAATAAAAAAAAATAAAATAAGTCTAAATACGAGAGGATGTACCTAGGAACAGAATCAGGTCTTCATTATTATTTTTTTTTTTTTTTGTAGTCTTTCAAACTTTTTTTTTCATATACAGCCCAATCAAATTAGACATTTTACCTTGTAAAAGGTCAGGTAATTCAAATTTCTTTTTGATATTGTTAAGTATGCAGTGTATATAAAAAATTCTTAGGCATCCCATTTGTATTCTTGGATTTTAATTTTAATTTTTTTTTTCATCTTTATATTTAAACACTCCTGTTGGGAATACCAACAACCAGTGAATTTGGTTTCAGAAAGAAGAGTATATATAGATTAAGACGGCAGGCGTGAGGAAAAGGATTGCCCTGCGGCGTCCCTTCCTAACTTGATTTTATGTTTATAGTTAGTGGATGAGATTCCACATCCAGCTTCTTTTGAGAGTCCTACGGGTTCCATCGGGCATATTGGGCATCTATTGATTTTCTTTTTTATGCAAACTAAGAAAAAAATTTTGACTAATGTAACATAACTTATATTAACGAAAAGACGCTTTCTGTAAACTGCTCTTAGTTAATATAAACATAATTGTTTATGGGGAAACAAAGTTGATATTTGTTTTTCTCACGTCGAAAACTCCTTTCCGACGAATTTTCACAGCAGTAGAAAAATGAAAATATTTTTTCCCAGCCTGGACCCTTCGAAATTTTGTCAATAACTAAGATTTTGATAACCTTGGAACGGCTCTACCTATCAACACAAAAATCATTAGGGATGTAATGTTCTGGATGCTACACAAAATGAAACAGAATTGACCTCTGTGAACTAATCAAAACCAAAGATATAAAATAAAAATGATTGGAAAGTTCTTAATTTCTCATTTAAAAAGATGAAATTTAAAAGTTATTGATGTCAGTTGGAAAAACAGTAATTCAGCTTTCCAACGGTTATACCAACGTTCAATTTGGAGAATATTCAGATAAGTTATGAATGCTTTAGTTATTGGCCGAGAAAAAAATACTCTAATAAAATCAAATATTAGTAATAATAATAAAACCACATAGTAGATCACTATTGGCCTGCTTTATTTGTTTTAAGACAAATAAAGTGGGACTATAGTGATCAAATATGTGGTTTCATTATTTATATTAATTTTTTTAATTTATATTAATTTCTATAAAATTTCATATATGAGAGTTTCAAAGGCGACTAAAAACTAATCTGAATTGTTTTTTAATAACAAAGATTTCTTTATCCTACTTTACAGGGTTGGGAGCAATGTGTGGAGGATGTGGTAGGTAACACTTATGGTGGTAATACTTTTAGCAAGTGCGATATTATTTTTTAATAATTAAAATTAAATCGATGAGTCTAGTAAATCAAAATTTACAGACCATTGGCGGCATTCGAAATATGCTAATATTTTTGTTGTTGTATTTTATGATGCATTATAACTTGTTATTATAATGAGTTTATAACTCATAATATAATTAACAATAAAACGAATATCAACTTTGTTTATCCCTAAAAATATATTGCTTCCTCACTACCAATACAAAATTATGTGCTCAGAATCGAAAATTTCCACTCACGTTTTACGTTTCAATAAAATATGAAATTATACAAATAAATCATTAGTTTTTATGTTCTCCAGTAAAACACATAATCTTTACATATGACCTTTTGCACTAACAGTAGCAATATACATGTTCAGTAGACACTGTCTTTTTTTTTTTCACTAACCATGAAATGTGCAATCTGCAAATCCGGAACTCTTTCACATTTTACTATTCGCTGATGAACAAAACTCGTGGATATAAAACCCGTTTATTTTGAGAAATAACTGAATTTATGAAAACGGCTTCTCCCAAAGATTTTATTCTCATATGAAAAATTTTACACCTTGTAATATAGATATTTTTTAGCCAGTGGAAACGGTGAGGAAGCTATCCTGACCTTACTTGGCAGACGTTTTAATATTTAAAGAAAGCAGTTTACAGAAACTTCTTTACAGAAACCAATATTTTTTTCTTATTTTGCACAAAAAAATAAATCGATTGATGTATAATATCCTAAAAGTTTAGGGATAGCAATGGCAAAAAAAATATTATAAATCTTATTTTAAATTACATAGAATATTTTCTTTCCTCGCGGTCAAAAGTAGGTAAGCTTGGTATTCGTGCGAGAGGTTGAAAAAATGTTTGTTCTCAAACTCGAAAATCTCAACTCGCTTTTTACGTTTCATAGATCAAGTCAAATTAACAATTGGCTGTCAAATTTATGTTATGGGCATATCACCTACTACCGTTTAACCGATTTTCATAACATTTTCCGAGATTATGCGTGTTGGTGCCTAGAGATTCTATATCAATTCCATCAAATTCAATCCAGCACTTCCGCTTACACACGCGCAAACGAATTTTTTTACATACTTCAATATTTCAGAAACGATTCATCTTTTTCATAAACATGCACAAACGTGTTTTCCTTGATACATATTATCTATATCTCTAAAACCGATTTGGCTCAAATTTGGAGAGAGGTTAGGCATTGGTAAACAGATAATCAAGTATGTATCAATTTCATCGAACTCTATCCATTACTTTAAAAAAAAAAATACTTCCACTTTCAGTCCAGAAAATTCATTATTTGACGCCTACAGTTTGAAAAAGGTCGTTCAATTTGACCCAAACTTTGGAGAAAATTGGAAAATGGTATAAAAATTGCCTAGTATCAATTTCATTGAATTCCATTTAATAGCTAAAATTAATATAAATAATTGTTAACAATACAATGGCTGTGAAATATGGAAGGCATTGATAATATAAAGTGGGAGTTAGGTCAATAAAATATTTTTATGAGGTTATAAAATTGTAGGATTTATTAAAAAATTTAATTTATACTGTATTTTTTGGTTGATTCCAAACGTTACTGGTATGACACTTACTGGCGTTACTTAGATTTCGTGTGATTATCAGTAAATTTAAATTTATTTTTACTCTGACTTTGTAAAAAACATATATACATACATATGTGGCACGACATCCCGTTACCGAGACTGGGCCTCCTCCAAGACCTCCCCCAGTTGGCTCTGTCTTCTGTTGCAGCTCTCCAGTTCCGTACACCAAGCAGGATTCTCGCATCATGGGCCATGTTGTCCAACCATCTCGTCCTCGGCCTTCCTACCCGTCTTGCGAGGTGCAGCTCCTCCATCATTACTTTCTTGGGTATTTCAACGGTGCTCATTCTGGCCACATGCCCTGCCAACCTTAGTCTAGCAAGTTTAATATAGGTGACTACGTAGATGTCTGTATAAAGAGAACTGAGCTCCCTATTTTTTCTTTTCCTCCAGACATCACCCTCCTTGACTGGACCATAAATCCTTCTGAGGACTCCTCGCTCGAACACTCTCAGCTTCATCTCATCAGTTTTCGTCATCGTCCAAGCCTCTGAGCCATATGTCAAAACAGGGCTTACAATGGTCTTGTATAGAATCAGCTTGGTCTTCTTTGAGAGATACCTACTTCTTAAGTGTCGGCCATGGCCAAAGACACATCTATTGGCAGCCGTGATCCTTCTCTGTATTTCTTGAGCCATGTAATTTTTTTTTTTGTCATTTCAGACCCAAGATATATAAAACTTTTTACTCTCTCAAACTTAAAAGAGCCTACCTCAAATGGAGAGTTGAGATCCACCTCACAATCAACTCTCATATATTTAGTTTTCCTCTCAGTGATTTCTAGACCAAGTCGTCTTGCAGTTGCTTCAAGGGCTATAAACGCTTCTCTGAGAGCCCGTTCAGACCTTCCTATTATTTAAATATCGTCAGCAAAACCAAGGAGCTGTGTCAGGCGATTGAAGATTATATCGTTGGTCTGAATACCGAATAATCTCTTACAGCTTTCTACTCTGCCAAGTTGAATAATAGACAGGCGAGGGCATACCCTTGCCGAACCCCACTGCTCACTTTAAACTCTTCGGAGTCATCAGAACCGACGCGTATTCTACATTTCGAGCTGTCCATGGTCATCTTGATTAAGCGTATAAGCTTCTAAGGGATACTTAGCTCCTCCAAGGCATAGTATAGTTGTGTTCTATCAATGCTGTCGTCTGCTGCTTTAAAGTCCAGAAATAAATGGTGGGTGACTACCTTACGCTCCATAATCTTTTCTAGGATCACCCAGAGAGAGAACAGTTGATCAGTGGTTGAGCGTACTCGTCGAAATCCAGCCTGATATTTCCCCAGTTCCTTTTCAGAATACGTGAGGATCCTCTCAAAAAGAATGTTAGAGAGCAGCTTGTAACCACACGAAAGGAGTGAGATTCCTCTATAGTTAGTGCATTCCGTTTAATCTCCCTTCTTATGAATTGGGCAGATAATGGCTGTAGCCCATTCCGTAGGCATAGCTTCCCTCTCCCAGATGGTCAGCATTAAATCATACAGAGCTTTCTTGAGTTCTTCACCTCCACATTTCAACAGCTCTGACAAGATTCCGTCCGGACCTGGCGCTTTTCCATTTTTCAATTTCCTCAGGGCGTTTTCCATTTCATCCTCATTCGGGGGTTCAATAGAATTCAGGGAGTCTTCCTTCATTACCCTTACTTCTCCTGGCTCTGTTTAATGTGTCTTTGAAGTGTTGCACCCATCTCTTTAGTACGTCATCTTTGTGGCTTATAAGAGTTTCGTCTGTGTCTTTGCATGCTGTCACTCTGAGCCTGAAAGGTGACCTACCCTAGTTTATTCTCTGAAAGAACAGCCGACTTTCATTTTGATATGTTTCTTTTTTATGCTTCTTTTTCTTTGATATGTTTCTTGGGAGAGCCTTGTGAGACGCTGAACCTTTGTTTTGTAAAAAACAAAAATGTTATTTGTGATTGTGTTTATTTCTATCGAAGTTCAACCAGCCCTTCGTGGTTTCGATTTTTCCCTTAAACATCAAAGTTGTGTGAACTTCGCTCATATTTTTATATTTCAGCTTAAATTATTTTTGTCCTGAATAAAGAAAAATATTAGTCTCGTTAACTCTGAACAAACAAAAAGTTGAATTTTTGCAATGGCTATTTTTTTTACTTCCATTTTACGAGTGAAAACATATCTATTAAGTATACATCGCTACTGTTAGTGCTAAATATCGTTTGTAAAAGTTCTCAATTTTTATTATATTTATGCTAACGGAGACATTTTGCAGTCTGCAATAGATATCGGTAGTCTGCTACGATGGAAAATATCAGAGGACAAGAAATCATGAGATTACACTATTAAATCATAACGAAATAATTAGTTTTATGCCAGGAAAAAACTAAATTTATATATACGACCTTTTGCACTAACAATAGCGAGCGATTTGCATGTTCAGTATGTCCTGAGATTTTTTTTTAATCACGATTCATCAAATACCCAATCTACAAATGTGGAACCCTTCCGCATTTTAGTGTTCACTGATGAACGAACCTCGTGTATATGCAATCCAAGAATGTTGAGATATTGTATTTTACTGTATTTTTGAACACGCCTTCTCCCTGAGATTTTACTCTCATACGAAAATTATCGACCTTGAAATATAGGTAATTGTTCACCCAATGAAAACGGTGAGGAAGCTATACAGACCTTATTTGACAACTTTCTCGGCTCCTAGGGCCTCATAGGGTCGGGATATGTGTCCAACATTTTTCGAAGTAGTACCTGTAGCCTCCATTTGTTATTATAAGTCCTGAGTTTAGTTGAAATCTTCAAATCTTACAATAAAACATTCTACCTTCGTTTTATACAATATTTATTAATAATAGTAAATGGCGAAGAAACAAAAAAAAAATCTTACAATTACAGAGCTAAAAAATCATGACCACACAAATCGATATTGGGACAACTGGGAGAACGAGAAAAGGTGACACTTATCGGGACAATACTTATAGCAAGTGGCATATTATTTTTAAATAATTAAAAATAAATCAATGCGGCTCAAAAATCAAAATTATAAAACCAAAATACAGACCTTTGGCGGTATTGCAAATGTGAAACAACTCACAACAAAAAATAATATGTTAATGCTCTGTATAAAAAATAAAAAATAATATGCTTAAAATGCTGAGCAGCTGAGCTGAGAAATCCATTCTGTTGAATTTTTTTTTTCTATTTACAGGAACATATTCCAATTTATAAAATCCAGAGGAAACTCAAGGGCCTTTTATTTATTTCAAAACAATGTTTTTTTGTTTTTTTTTATGTTACTTTCATTATGTTTAATTTTGTCCCAATGAAAAAGAATGATAAAAAGCCAATTCAGTTGTTCTAAAATTAAAAATTATTTTGTTTTCTAAAATAAAATCGCCATTTATGGTAGCAGGTAGAAGAGACGATTTATAATCACTGTTTTCAAAAATGTGCCAGAGATAAGATAAAAATTTCTCACTACTAAATTTCGAAACTATACCAATTAGTTTTGACAAAAGGTATACCAAATAAACATAGGAACTAAATTCTGTCAGTTAATTAGTGTCAACGCGAGTTATTTCAAGATAATCGTAGGAAAAGGAATGAGACGAATTGGTTGAAATAATCTAATGTTTCTAATGTGCTTGGATGTGATAGAATGTAATATTTCTCAATAAAGAAATGATTGAAAAACATAACAAATATAAATATGTGTGTGTGTGTGTGTGTTTGTGTGTGTGTGTGTGCGCGTGCGCGTGCGTGCGTGCATGCGGTGTGTGTGTGTGTGTGTGTTTGTTTGTGTGTATGTGTATTTAAATATCCATTAATAACTTTTTTCTTGTTTCCAGAGATGTTCGCAATAATAATCTCTTTGGTTGTCATCGCTGCTGTAGTTTATTATAGACGTTACCGCTCCTTTTACAGTCACTGGGATAAAAGAGGTATCCCAGCAATACCAGGATCTGTACCTTGGGGTAGCTACTCCAGCCGCTCCCATATGAGACAATACCAAGGGTTCTCGTTGGACAAGGTACCTTACTTTGTTTGGGTTTTTCATCCATCTTCTTTTAGCTATTTAATAATTTCAAAATTTAATTTCCAGTTTTACTATAAGATGACAAACCATCCATATTTTGGCTTCTACGATATGAGATCACCCATACTGATCGCGAAAGATCCCGAAGTGATAAGATTAATCCTAACGAAAGAGTTCTCTCATTTCATAGATCGGACGTATACGGGACTGTGAGTTTGATCTAATTACTAATCATATTCATTTTCCAAACGGTAGTAGCATAAATAAATATAATTGTTGATAGTTCCCGACCATCTTGATATATTCTGTATACAATAGATATACAAATTAATATTTTGTCAGAATATTTACATGTATTTTTGATTTCGAGGCCTAAGACTGATCCGCTACTCCACTATCAGCTGTTCTCTCTTAGCGGAAACAAATGGCGAGCCCTGAGGACTAAGCTCACTCCCACCTTCACCAGCGGGAGAATGAAGGCTATGTTCCCACTCTTCCTGGACTGTGCCCAAGTACGTATTTATATTACACGTGCTTTTATTACTTCAAATAGAATAATTAATAATTGTTATGAACCGACAGGGCCTGAACAGTTTGCTCTGGTCACGAGTGGGGTCGATTGTTGACGTGAAGGATGCGGTAGCTCGATTTACAACAGACGTCATATGCAGTTGTGCTTTCGGACTCCAAACCAATACTGTTGTTGAACCCAACCATCCACTGCGTAAAGCCGCAGCAGACTTCTTAGCCTTTGGTGATTCACTCTACCTTAAATTCAGATTATTGTTAACTCTACTTTCGCCATTCAGAATTCCCTTTAACAGGTAAACAATCAGAATAGTGTGTATAGATTTGGTTAGCTATTATTCTTTGTTAATTATATACCTCCAATGATAATATGAAAAACTGAAAGCAAGTGTGACTATTAGATCTTTGTTTAAGGTTCACGCCAAAGTCGGTTGAAGATTATATCATGAAACTTATATCGGATACGGTGGAATATCGAGAAAAGAACAAAATTACAAGAAACGATTTTTTGGAACTTCTCATCCAGTTGAAGAATAAGGGTTCTCTCAAAGACGAGAGAAAGGAAGAGGTTGAAGAAAACTTCGGTGGGTCCAGGTTTATTGACCTCAGTATTATTACTTTCAATTGTTCTTATGATTATCAATCTTTCAGAGATCAACCTGGATGTAATGGCTGCACAAAGCTTTCTTTTCTTTTTTGCCGGATATGAAACTTCAAGTTCCGTTCAGACTTTTTGTCTTTACGAGCTTGCCTTGAACCAGGATATCCAACAGAAATTGAGGAATGAGATACAAGAAGTAATCAAAATACACGGGGAAGTCACATACCAGGCAGTGAATGACATGAAATACTTACATATGGTCGTGTCAGGTAAATCTTGTTATAACATTTCTAGTTAATCAAATTATTTAAATAATGAAATTATCATTAAAACTTTGACATGTTATCCAGAAACCATGAGGAAATATCCGACTTTACCAGCGTTAATGAGAAGGTGCGTTATACCATTCACAATGCCAGATGGTGGAAAGATACAGAAAGGAGACCAAATTTTCATTCCAATCTGGTCGCTGCAGCATGATCCTCAGTACTTTCCCGACCCCGAGAAGTTCGACCCAGAGAGATTCTCTCAGGAAAACGAAAGGAACATCATACCTTATACCTACCTTCCCTTTGGAGGAGGGCCTAGAATGTGTATAGGTAAGATGGTTATAATTATTTTCTGGCCAGCGTTGGATTTGTTTCAATCTATGATATTGAATGATAGTAAGATCAAAAAAGTAATGTTTTTTTTTTTTCATAGGCAATAGGTTTGGACTCTTGCAGACTAAAGTCGGTCTGATCACTGTAATTAGGAATTTCCAAGTGCTCCCCTGTGATAAAACCAGCATACCTCTGAAATTAGTAAAAAATTCGAACAACATTACCGCATGCGAAGGACCTATCATCTTGAAATTAATCCCTACGGCACCAGAAAACTAGAAAAACTTTATCCACTGCTGCTATTATTGTTTAATAATTTGTGATATGATATAATTTTAATATACATTATTTAATTTAAACATTAGCCTAAATAATTTGTTCTCAAAGCACTTTCCTTAAAAAAAATTATCATAATAACATATAGAATACTCATTCCTCCTCTTATTAAGTAATAATTTAAATTAAATCATAAACTTTGTCTGTCAGAATTATTTTTTTCATCCCTCACAATGATCCCTCATAAATCATTACTGGGTTTTCAAAAAAGAATTGCTAGAAAAAAATGTATGTTGCTCTGTTAATTTACTAAAAGAATCTTTAAAATGTTAATGTAAGGATCTACAAGAGCAAATAATAAATAAATAATACTAATTTTAAAATTGAATGGAATAGGACTTTTAAATTATCATTCATTAACTTCAAATAAAATATTAAGGTCCCAAAATAAAATACATAATAATAATAATGTGATAAGTGAAAGAAGTAAGGAAAAAGGGATGTAAAAATGGGAAAAAATTGACAAGATTTAACTACTTACAGAGGCAATTTCTTTTACCAGATAGCATCAAAGGCAACTAAAGACAAAGATTTGACAAGGCAATGTTAATAGGCAATACATAGTTTACTTAGTACAAGAAGAATCCGTCAACAAAGGAGAACAAAAATATCTATATTTTTTTGTGGCGTGGATATTGGAGTGAATTTAGATACATCAGTGTACCAAGGTACTCAATGATTAGTTGGATTTGACTTTGATTTTTTTCTATTTCTTGTTGTGAACCGATTAATAAAAAAATAAATTCACAACATTTTCTTTTGTAAAGTCTAGATAATAATAATAATCATTAAACTTTTAGCTTATTTGTTTTGTTTATTTTATTAACTCGACAATATCAAAAAATGTATTTATTGCTACATCGCTAAAGAAAGAACATTAGTGATTCGCTCAAGACAGTAATCCCCAGGGTGCGAATGGGCACCATTTATTCTGCGTGTTGTCACTTGTAACCGTAGGCACAATTGAGACTGTTAGACAACCTGTACCACCTAGCAGCTGGTAACAATTCAGTTATGGGCTGACAGCGGTGTTTTCAAGAAATATTTAATATTATTTACAATATTACTCAATTCTTCTTCGGTGCATACTATTATTTTCAAGTTAATCCACTATCAGCCATATTTACACCAATTTAAAAAAATTTGTTGTCACTTAATGACTACTCATCAAAATGACGACGTTTCGGCTCGTCGAGCCATTTTCAAGTCTAAAAAAATTTTTTCATTTACAATCATATATTAAATTTTAACATATTTCAAATTATAAAGATACTTATTATGTACCTAAAATACCCATCATGTACCTGTCATATTCACTTATGCGAATTGCAAGCGTCTACAATATAATAAAATTCATTATTATTGTCATGTTCACCTTTAATTATTTAACAACATTATTATTACTCATCTTTACTATTACATGATTCAAAATAAGTTAAATTTACCATGTTTCTGAGTCACCCACATGTCATCCATCTCATTTCTATTCAGTGACTGGTTATTCTTATAGGAGTAGGGGAAGACTATTTATTATGAACATATATAATGCTGTTACTCAATATTACATGTGGATCTATTTTAAGTAATATTAGTTGATTTATTTCAAATTTTGATTTTTTCAATAGAACTAGCATAAAAAGTATTCATATTATCCACGTCTGTATGATTATTTACTGAGTTTTTTAAGTTTTTAGTTATGTATATTGATTCTTTAATTCTACGTTTATTCGTATTTCTTTCATTATGTAGGATTTTGGCATTTTTGAAATCAAACTCATGTTTAGTTTGCATATTATGTTGTGAGAGTCCAGTAGCTAATTTAATTTTTGTGTTTTTTGAATTACAATTTTGTTTATGCTGTTTAAGCCTTTTTTCAAACCATTGGGATGTTTGTCCAAAATATGCTTTGTTGTCGCAATTCTTACAATTTATTTTATAAATAATATTCGTTAATTTATCGATAGGTACTTTATCTTTAGTTTTCGAATAAATTGTATCTAATTTATTAATTGGTTTGCTTGCAAATTTAATTTCATTTACATCGTATTGTTTAAATGTTCTTTCAATTTTATCAGTTAAGTTTCTAATATATGAGACGCTAAAATATTTTTTAGGTTGTTGTTTGTTCCCATTACATTTTTCAATTTGTGTCTTAATGTCATGTATATCGTTCATGGAAGGTTTTTGTTTTACTGCATTTTCAGTTTTAAAATAATTTGTTATTAAATTCGGTTCTTTATTAATTTTAATATTTTGCTTCACTTTCTCACTCCTATCATTGCTAATGTCAATAATCTGTTTGTTACTATTGTCATTTATAATTAACTTTTTATTTTCATACCATAATTTATTAATTAATCGAATGGGGTACCAATTTTCTAATAGAATTTGATATATTTGTGCTTTGATTTCTTTTATATGGTTTTGATCTGTTATTAATTTTGCCTTATTTATTAAATTTTTAGCTGTGTTAATTATTATATGTTTCTTGTGGTTACTGTGCCAGTTTAGGATTCTATCACTAGTTATTGTTTTTTTGCACCATGCCGTGCTAAGATCGCCGCTTTCATTTCTGTGAATATACATATCAAGATATCTTATTTTGTTGTTATTCTCCAATTCCATTGTGAATTTTAGTTTATCTGATATATAATTTAGTTTATCCAGAAAATTAACAGATTCATTTTTATTTATTATTGCAAGTATATCGTCAACGTATTTTATAATAAGCTTCGGTTTTTTTCCCCATTTAATTATAGCATTATCTATTAGATTGTTCAGATATATGCCCGAAAGATTGATTGACATACATCCGCCCATCGGTAGACCATTTTTCATTTTGTAATAATTATTATTATAGGAGAAATAGCCATTTTCGCAAATTAATTTGATTCCTTCCATAAAAACGTTTTTATCTTTTATTTCTGTGTACGGTTCTATTTCATCCCACCGTTTTTCCAGTATTCTATATATTTCATTTAGTGGAACATTCGTAAAAAGGGATTCCGCGTCATAGCTTACTAGATTTTCGTTTTCCTCTATCCTATTTATACTATTAATTTTTTCTTTTACTTGCATTGCATTCTTCACATCGTATATATTATTATTGTTTAAGTTGTTTAAGGCTGAGTTTAGGAATTTAGCCAATTTTTCAGTAATGCCATTTATATTATTTACAATTGGTCTAAGAGGTCTGTCATTTTTATGTAATTTGCTCAGACCATGTATTCGCGGTATAGTATAATGTCTAGTTATGAGTTTTTCTTTTTCCTTTTCATTTATAAATTTCATTTTCATTAATTTATTTATATATGTCAAGGTTTTATCCTGGATTTCATTTGAAGGATCTTTCCTAAGGCATCTATATATTAGGCGTTCATCCAGTAGGTTGTGCATTTTTTTATCATACTCGTCATTTTGATGAGTAGTCATTAAGTGACAACAAATTTTTTTAAATTGGTGTAAATATGGCTGATAGTGGATTAACTTGAAAATATTATTTATTTTAAATATATAACAAATAATTAATTGAAAATCCAATGTTTCTCTGAAAATATTTATTTATTAGTATCATAGCATTTGAACTACATTTGAGGTCATTCTTTTCTGCAATACCAAAAACTGAATGACAGTATCAATAGTATTGGATTCAACTGCCTATTTGCTGATGAGCATGTCTCTTATTTTATTGTTTCGAATGTTTCCGAATTCATCTTCAGCAATTCAATTAATTAATTATTAATATCACTTACTAACATGAAGTACCCATCCTCCTCCCCCTCTCCAAAGGTTCTCCCAAGATATTTTATTAGTCACCTTTTCTTAAAATCAAAGTAAGCTAAGATAAGTGTCCTTATAATAAAACATTACTTTCATAGGGTCAGACTTCGGAGTGGGTGGAGAGGGGGAGGCCCTCAATAAAAAAAGGGAAGAAGCGAGAATATCGTTTCACTCCTCCACTCTGCCCTTCAATATTTCAAAACCAAAAATAAAATAAAAGTTAATAACAATTAATCTACATGAATATATAAAATATTTAAATTAATATCAATTAACAAAAATCAATTATATGGCAAAGCTAAAGCCTAGAAGTACGTACGCAAGTATTTTACCAACTCCTATATTTCTATTATTGAAATTTTAGAGATACTTAAGTGTAGCAACATATCCTTGGATTTTATGATTTGTTCGTGTGCGCCCTTCCATTTTATGTGATGTAATATAAACTTCTAAGACATGTTTGGGAGGAGGGGAGGTCGATCACCCCCCTTCCCAACCAGAATGAAAAGTGTGCGCCTATGATGACTGTTACTTGGATACTCATCACTTCGGGTTCTAGAAATTAATTCCTATTGCCCTGGTACAATAAAGAGGGTAGATTAATAAGCAGGAAAACAACACATCATTAAACTAAACAGTTAGCAATGGTCGAATTTGAAAGTGTCAAAAAGGATTTGGAATCACGAGTTTCGGCCTCAGTTTAGTAAAAGTGTAAGAAAATTTAGATTTTTTTATCTCTATTGGATTACAAAATGAATTGAGAATCTGGTGGTGTGGATTGAAAAAAAAATGGCGTGGCTAACAACTGGGAAAATAAATGATTAAGTGAATATCAATAGGAACATGGAATTTATGAATTCCTACAGAAAAGAACGGGCCAGATTTTTACAGATTGCCTAAGTAGATATAAATAAATTTTAAAAATCAATTATAATAGATCTAAATGAAAATATCCACACCAATATTGGACATGAGGAAAATGTATTATCTTCAAGGTAAGTAAGAATATGAATCACATTATTATACTAACAATAAACAACAAAAGGATATGCTTTTTAAGAATGAAAGGAATGTTTTTAACATCATTATATCTCTTTGTAAACAGGGTGTCCCGTAAGTAGAAGAAAATATTAAAAGGGATGGTGAGACCTCAAGAGCTACAAAAAGGTTTAAATAAACAATGGCCCGATTTTCAGAAGAAAAACAGGAAATTTAAGTTTGTCATCGTTAAATCTAATCAAAGAGCACTATTGAGCAGCTAAACTAAATCAAATTCTTTTTTTTTTTTTTAAATCATAAATTATTGAATAATTTTATTTTATCATCATCCAACTATACAACAGTTAGCCTATTTTTAGAAAAACTTTATCTGGGATGTATTATAATAAATATTAATATAATATATATTTTTTTTTTTTTGTTTTAAATCATAAATTATTTAATAATTTTATTTTATCATCATCCAACTATACAACAGTTAGCCTATTTTTAGAAAAACTTTATCTGGGATGTATTATAATAAATATAATTGCTTAGTAAACATTTTACTGAATTTTTTTCAAATATTTTTCAATGGTTATGAAACTGAAGTTGTGTGTTTATAACCACTTTACTTGAAAAATATTTGAAAAAAAAATCTTTACAAATAGATTTTAAGATCCACTTAGACATATTCCTGATAAATTTTAATAAATATGTGGCAGAAGGGCACCATTCATAAACAAAACATAATTTGAAGAGAACTTTAAAATTTATCGGAATTATATAAAAACGGCCCTAATCTACTTGAAGTTGAATAATGTTAGACATATTGACCTCTTTGTAACATTAATGAACAATCGCTTTTGAACGGCTAAAGGTTTAGCATGACAGTTCAAGAGTTAGCTATAACAGTTTTCCTACTACTAAAATTCGTATGCAATTTTTTGTTTTGTTTTCAACATTTTGAAACCAAAATTTATATGATAATGGTTCATTAAAACATATTTGATTGTTCACTTAATATTTTTAAAATGTCTAATTCGATTGTTTTAAGATTATTTTATTTGAACCACAGTGTCAGAACCCTCACTAAACCAGTAGCAAATTGGAACTGTTACAACCACTTAAGGCTATACTCAAATAAATCAATTAATAAGCATCTCGTTCCCTCTTATGGGTTTGTTGATATAAAGAACAAAAATAAAGAAACCTACTTAGAAATGATAAATATTTTTATGAACAAAGATAGAGATAGACGAGGACAAGTGGAATTCATCTATGCAGCCCTTAAATATATGAAAGACTTTGGTGTAGAAAAAGACCTAGAAGTATACAAGAAGCTGATTGAAGTTTTTCCACAAGAGAAAATGGTCCCGAGGAATATTTTTCAAGCGGAATTCATGCACTACCCAAAACATCAACAGTGTGCTATAGACCTATTAGAACAAATGGAAGAACTAGGTAAATATACAAGATGTATTCATCACGATATTGCGATTACACTCTTGTTAATTTATAAGTATGTTGTTGGCACATTTTTTTTTTCTTGCGAAAGAATGTTTAATCAGAAACTAAATTCAGCTTTTCAACTTAATATTATTAACCAACATAATCAATCATTTGACATCATACAGATATTAATTTGAATAATGGTATAATAACTCCCGAAACTGATAACTCCCATAACGCAGTGATAAGCCTTCTCCTACTTTATATCTTCATATTATTGTATTAAATTCGTATTATTGAAAGTGTTAACAGATATAAAAACAAATGTAATAAAAAAATATTTTTATTTGACGACATATATTAATAAAATAATAAAAAAACACTTTAAGAAGATATGTATGTATAAAACATCAAAATGAAATAATAAAAAAACACATTTAAAAGAATATATTTACATAGAAAAGAAAAAATATCAATACTATAAACAACATATGTACAAATTATTTTCACTTAATTATTCACTTCTTTTTGTCTAAATTATTTTGGAAGGCAAAATTGTTTTATGCTATTTAAAATAGCGAGGAACGGCTTCTCTTCCCTGTGAGCCCGCCGCCACAAAAATTCGCACAAACATGACGAGGTGTTGTCTGGCAGTTTCCTCTATGTACTTTATTTCTCCACTTCACTGAGTCCCATAATCGTTCTATGTGTTGAGTATGAACTCCAGTTAATGGATCGACTAAATTATACCGGTGATTCACTTAGAAATGGTCATAGTTGGCTTCGTTCAGTTGTTGGGTGTTGTATCCTTTCCAACAGTCCGAATAAATGGTCGTTCCCTCTTCTATATTTTCTTTAATTGCTTGTAATAAGGTTGTTGCCTTTCTGTCAATTATTTTGACGATAAAACATTCATCTGTTTCTCGGCAAACTCCACCAAACATCCACTGCTGAGGTAAAACTCTCCCCACATGATTGTTTCGTTTAGAAAAAAGACTTTTGTCTACTTCAACCACTTTGCCAGGTCCTCCAATTTTTTTTCTTCTCCTGTATAACATGTCATGGGCACAAACCTCTCTTAGACATTTGTTCCACGTTACCATAGCTCCGTAGGATAGTTTCAACTGCTCTTTGCCCCACTTCCTCGTTGTCAAACTATGGGACCACCCATAAATCAATTTTAAAGCTGTTAAAAACGAAATCCTCGAGCCCTCCAACCATGTTCCTTTCCTTATTGAAAGTTTTGTGTCACAAGTCTTACAAAAGCATCTCCATTTGCCCTTCTTGGTTAACTTCATTCGATGACCTCGTTCACACAATTTCACGTCGGCAAGTACCCCAACATTTTGAAAATACTGAATTGCCTGTTCTTCTGAAGATGGTAAATCCCATATTCTAAGAAGATCCATGATATGTGTAAAAAAATGAAAAATAAACACAAAGGGGCCACAAACTAAAAAAAAATGTAAAATAAACACAAACGGGCCAAAAACTAAAAATTATGAAAAATAAACACAAACGGGCCAAAAGTAAAGAATTTAATAAGTGAACGTAATAAGGGAATAACTGAAAACTAAACAATGCAATAACTCAAAAGTTTGGCGGGATAAGAAGAGGGAGGTTATGTGATGTGACGTTAGATAAGAAGTGAGGTTTCAAAACGGCCCTCTAGACAAAAAGTACCCAAAGTGAATTTGATGTATTTTTTCTTGTAAGTTTATCATGAAGTAGTATTCCGTTTATTTAATCTTGAAATAAAAATTAATTATTCATCCATTAATTTAACTGAACAAAGCTTGTTCTTTTGAAGGAATGTGTACATTTTCTTTTATCTGGCTGTCTCACACAACTAATTTTGATATTCTATGTAGAGTGTGATCAATATAAACTTAGTTCACCTGCCATCTAATTATTATACCATTCACTGACACCTTTAGGAATTTTTTGTTTAAATAGTGAACAAGAATTATTTGTTAATTAGCCAAGGTGAAAAATAATTTTTGTCTAAAATGAATGTTTTGTGTAATTTGTGGTAAATAAAACCATTAACCCTTTCCTGAAATTTATAAGATCCGATAAAGAATATAATATATTTCATTTCTGAAATACTTACTGTTGGTATTTTAATTACATTTAGGTTGTTCCCACCAGGTGTGATGCCGGATTGGAGCATGCAAGATCAATTGGTAAGCGTGTTCGGGAAGAGAGGCTACCCAGTGCGGAGATATTGGCGCATGATGTACTGGATGCCACGATTTAAGAATGCTTCTCCATGGTTACTACCCCAGGATCTACCCAATGATACTCTAGAGCTTGCAAAACTGGCAGTCAGCAGAATGACCAGTGTTGATCCCACAACTGACATATCTGTTTACCAGGTAATAAGTTTGGTTTGTTATATGAATTAAGTTTGTTTTTCATTCTCAATCGTATAAGCCCTGTTTTTTTATTTTGACCAGACTTCTGATATAGCAGACTCACTAGAGGATACTTGGATTGTGAGTGGTCAAAGTAAAACACAGCAGTTGCTCATTGATTGGTTGCCGCAGGAAGCAACTTTGTATGTAGATGGGGGTTATCGCTTATGGTTGAAAGATCGTGCAATTACCTACTTCACTCTTTCTACAGAACCATTCCGTCAGTTTGAGGAACAAAACTATGATGGTAAGTTAAGTAAGTAATATTTTTTCATTTTCTATCATCTCAACTAAATGCTTACTGGTTGGCCTTTGCTAACAATTAGTATGGTATATTAGTGAGTGAACCAATAATATGATATGATAATAAATCATTTTAGAAACAAGAGGAATTCATTTATTTTTTCTGTCTGTTGGTTAGAACATTTCAATAATGAAAATAATGAGCGAAACTTGCACATATTCCAACAAGCAATCTTTGCCAATAATGGTCCAATTTCAATAATATTTTTTTGTAGAGAATTTAAGACCCTTTCTAACTATCATGGATATAATAAAACATAAATAGTATACTTTCTGAGTAAGTCATGAATAAATGTTTCTTTTTCTTATAACTTTTCCCCTGATTTTTTGGAAGATATAGGCTTATTTTTTGGGACTGAAGGAGAAGATAATCTTTAAAATGATTGCTCAATCATTGAATTTGATGAAGTATTAACCTTTTTACTGCTGCATTTACATCTATCACAGCACTAAGTGAGACGGCTACTCGCATACTGTCCCATACCACATACTTTTTACTTGTGCATTATCTTTCATTATTGACCCTTTGCTTTTATCTATTAACCTATTTTATTGTTCCCATCCTCCTTTTTGATTCAGACTGTGGACCAACAAAAGCGGAGTTCATTTTTTTAATTAAAAAATAAAAAAAAGTTGTCCACGACATTGAAGGATATTTTGGGAGACAAGGAGGAAGATGTTGTCATTCTCTTTCAATATTTAATGGAATCAAATTACTACAACAGAATATAAAAATTAAGAATTACCACCAATGACCCTCTAGGGTAGATACGAATAAAAATTAAAAAAAGTTGTTACTTTTTCCAATAATTTAAATTTATTTAATTTTTTTTATTGAAATCATTAATAATGCTAATACATTTTTTTAGAATCTTTAGTTTCCTATTTGTATTTTTTTTTTTTTTTTTATGTTTTTCTAGATGTCTCAAATTTATCATCCCAGCTAATACCAAAGCAACCAGATCGCACTGTACATGAGGAGGACAACGCAGTCATCTTAGGAGTAGCATGCTCTGGTACATCGACCCCCGATTCCGTGTTGTCATGGATTCGTGCTCTGAGTACTGCATGCCCAAGACTTCAACAACTGCAGATCCTGTTCAGAGTCTCCTATTCGGTCCGAGACCAGGCGACGCCTCCACCTCCTGCCATCAAGGCCCCACCCAAGCAGATTACTCCTTCTTGATAGCTAGGTAGTTGACTGAACTAATCTGTGATATCAAGATTTATTTCCAGTTAATAATTCAAACAGGTTTTACTGTTGTTTTTATTTATTTAGAATATACATTTATAACCAACTAAATGTGTTTATTTAATTTTGTCTATTCCTTCTTGTATCTTTTTGTTTCTGGTAACTATATTATTTAATTTTTGGATACCTTTTTTAAAAAAAAGTAAAAAATACCAGTCTTTTTTTCCACCGGAATTTAAAATTAAAAAAAAAAAAAATAATAATAATATTTTTGGATTAAATGATTGGAAATATTAGTAGTGGAAAGCCAAAATAGCACTAGATCTGAAAAAAATCTGCAAACAGTTATGAATGTTTTGGTTTTGGGCTGCACGAGTTGAAAAAGAGATAAATAAATAACTTCACTGACTGATGTAAATAACCTACTAAAAGTTAAATGTTAATAATTTGTTTTGGCGGGAATAGCGAATAGCCTTCCGCTTTTATATCAGCGATTTAGGTTATTTACACTTGATATAATTGAAACAAAACTCTGGCATTGGATATAGAATTTTTGAGGATGTTTAACTGTTGTTGGGAATTCGGGAATCTAATACTTTTTGTGACACTGAGTGAGAAGAAACAATAAAAATATATATGTGAAATGTGCGACTTAGTAAATACACTTTGAATGAATTGACTCACCTTGTTTATTGTTCTTCAATTTTGAGTCCTATAGGACAATTAAATAAAAGGACTATTCACTCCTGTATGATGAAACAATTTATTTTACAACTGTGATGAATGAATGTATAAAAGTCTTATAACTGTCGGCTTGATATTCTTGGTCTTCAATGTTCTACTTCTCTCATCTCAGGTAATGTCCTCACGCCTCCACGTCTCAGCCTCAAGTTCCTGACGTCCTCTTCCGGCTGCTGCTACCTTACCCGACCTTTTTCTTTCTTCATCGATTGTTTGTCGATATGAGATTTTCCAATGAGCAATTTGTCCACTGCACAATTGAGTACAATTCACAGTGCAACCTCACATTCCTATATATTACATATTCCTTCTCATTCCCTCACACAATGTCAACTAAAGGAGTAAATACAGGGGGATGTCTACTACACTGAATTAAGGCTAAGTAAAATGTATTAGCAACTGAATTAGAGACAGTGGTGCCTTGTACAAGGTATGCACTGGTGGCTTGGCGTATTTCCAGTTTTAAAATATATGAAAATAATTAATTTTAGGCTATTAATAAAACAACTGAATCAATGAAATTAAATTCTCATATTATTTAATATGATAACAGCTTAAGAATGAAATTTAATTTTTTTGGGATAGAAAGCACATCATTTCTCAGGGTATCAAATGTCTAAGGCTGGCACTGACAAAATTCACTTAAACCTTCTCACACTCTAAATACTGCCACCCAGATCATATATCCTTACCTCTTCTCCCTCACCCTGTTAGTTCTAGCCTTGGTCAATGCTTAGTACTTAAGCAAACATAAAGCAAGTTTCTGGTTTGCCTCTTTTTATATCCGCCACTGTAATAGTCGGCTCGAGCCGGTGAGAAAGAAAGGATCGGCTCCACGTCATCATCGTCTATTATTGGGTATTCTTCATCCAATTGAGCTGCAATTTCACACCTAGACGGAGCTGTATGTTAAAGACCTGCATATGAGATCTTATGAAAATTGAGCTAGGATATTAGCCAGAATAAGAAGGCAACGAAAGTGATAATACTTGTGGGACCGGAGCCTTATCACTCTGCAGCCTGGAACCTGTCGGCCCCCTCCACCGCTCAGCAAGGTCAGTGTCGTCTCATCAATACAATCATCGACGGAGCCCAACTAATTTGACACTTAAGTAACTTTTATATTCGATCCCTTTCTCTCAAAAATATAAAAAGAAAAAAATAAGTTTTTACTATCATAATTTATTATTAATAGAACGTTTTAAAGTGGACATTTTTTTTTTTTTTTTTTTTTTTTTTTTTTTTTTTTTTTTTACTATTGCTGAACTGAATTTTTTCTTTTTTTTAAAAGTATTTAATGATCCTATATTTTGTAATTTATTTTATATATTAGGTTTGATAATGTGATGTGGATAGGTTTGTATATTGTTTTTTTTTAGATTATAACTACTTAAATTTTTATCTTTTGATTTTTAACTGATTTAGGCAATTACTATTTTTATTGTTTTATTTATTTATTCTTTTAGATTCTAACGTTTTAACAGTTAATTGATTTTACATTTTAACTCATTTTAGGAAATTATTTTATAGATTTTAACCTTTTAGATTTTAACCTTTTTAGACTTTGACTTTTTAACTTTTTTTTAGATTTTAACTTTTTAACTTTCTTAGATTTTAACTTTTTTAGATTTTAACTTTCACTTATTCTTAACTTGTACTTAAATTTTAACTTTAAACTTTTTACTGATTTTATATTGTAACTTATTTATAAGCAATTTATTTGATAGATGTATATTTTTTTTTTAAGCTTTTATCGATTTTATATTTTAACTATAACACTATTTAACACTTAATTTTATAGTTTATAACGTTGTATTTATTTATTTATTTAATTATGCACAGATTGTTTCAATCATGCGCGTGGTGGGCATAGTCTAGAACGAAAAAAAAAAATATTGCAATGAACAAAATACCAACGAAGAAGATCGAAGTTGGACAAAAGGTATGGGTTGTGAGAACTGGAGGCCCTGTAAAAGAGGCGGTTGTTGCCTCTGTGATGTCTGTGGCTACTGCAGGAGGCGGAGATAATAAATTTGTTAAAGTGGAATGGCCTGACACAGAAGGTGTAGTATTGGGAAAGACGGTGTCGATAGATGATGTCTTTCCCAGATTGCCATATGATCCGCTGAATGTCGCAGAGGTACTTAGTGAGCGGCAAAATGAAGCTCTACGCCCTGATGATAAAGTTTGTCCGATATGCGGGCTTTCTTTTAAGGGCGAACGAGGTCTCGGAACCCACATTGCAAAAAAACATCCCAGGGAGGCGAATAATAATACATTGAGGGGCATAGTAAAGAACGTGATAGGTCCTAGAAATGGAGAGGGTGAGTCATCAAAAATAAAAGAGGACATTGTTGAATGGTCTACTACGTTCAAGAACCTTTTAAAGCAAGAAATGGTGAATACTGCGGATTTTGATGAGGCCGTAGGCAAGTTCCTAAAGTTCCTCAAAGTCATTAATGCGGAACTGCCAGGTCCCCAGCACCCAGCCGTAAAATTTTATAGGATGAGGAAAAAAAATAAAATGAAAATGGCTGACAAGGGTGCTGGACAAGTCTCAAATCCGCAGAGGGCAAACAAAGTAGACAGGAGTCGTCGGCAAGAGCAGTATCAGTACGAGGTTGCCCAATATAATTATTATAATAAAAGAAAAAAGGTTGTGCAAACTGTAATGAATGCCGACGCTCCTAAACGGTGTCCTCTAAAAATGGCCGATATCGAGAGGCATTATAAAGACCTCTTTGAGAACGAAAATCTCTGCGGGCGTGCGGATTACGAACAGTGTACCCCGATGCCGGATTTGCTGTCCATTGAGATAGAAGCTATCAGGAAAGCCATTAAATCAACATCAATGGACACATCGCCGGGGCCTGATGGAGTTCTGATCCGCACAATAAAATATTTTGAGGTATCAAGCATTATTAAAACGATTGCAGAGATAATGCTGAAGGTGGCCTATGTTCCGGAACCACTTCGACAAGGGCGCACAATATTGATATATAAGGGCAAAGGTGATATAAACAATATCTCTACCTGGAGACCGATCACCATATACTCGATTGTGCGCCGAATCATAGAGAAGGTTCTGGACTACGAGTTAAGAAAGCAGGTCACCTTCCACAAGAGTCAGAGAGGCTTTATAAAAGGCCTCCCGGGAACGCACGTCAACGCGAGGATCATCGACGCGGTATTAAAAGATGCACAAAAAATGAAAAATGACTGTGCGATAGTTTTCCTCGACGTTGTCGGTGCTTTTGACAATGTTGGGCACAAACACATCGTAAGCTCCTTAGAAGCGAGAGGTGTGTCACCGAATCTTACAAATGTCATATCAGCTCTCCTTAGCACGAACACCATAAAGATTGGCAACGGTGTCCATGCAACTAGCCAGATCAAAGTGCTGCGCGGTGTACCCCAAGGTGGCCCCCTGTCGTCTTCACTCTTCAACCTGGCCATCGATCATCTCTACCGCGACCTGTGTGACGAGGACTTTTCCAAGAAATTTGGATACAAATTAAGGAATGAGCAAGATTGTGTGGTCCTCACAGGTTTCGCGGATGACCAGGCAGTGTCGGCGCGTGACAAGGGGGCTGCAGAAAGAGTGATTGACAGCATACAAAGAACATTTAAAGAAATTGGTCTGGCTATAAATCCTCTAAAAAGTATGGGCATCGTTATAAATAAAGGAGAGCTGGAAACTACGGTGCTCTCCCTTGAGAATGGTGAGTACATCCAAACATTGAAGAATGGAGATACGATTAAGTATTTAGGATGTACATTCTCGGGAGAGCTGCAATTCAACGAAGATTCGGTGACTAAATTGAATGATAATCTAAACAAGCTGGTAACCTCTTGCTTACTTAAACCTGAGCAGAAACTCAACATTGTCAATCAATATCTGTTCCCGGGTCTTACTTACCCTCTCCAAACTGCGCCCCTAACAAAGCTACGTCCTGCTATACTGGAGGGCATCGACACTATGATTCGCAGGAGCGTAAAGGCCATTATTGGACTGCCTGCGAATACTTCCACAGCGATGTTGTATGCCCCCAGGAGATACCGAGGATTGGGATTAATCCGCTGCCAATGGGAGGCTCCTCTTCAACATTGGTCCATTGCTCAGCGACTGTCCAATGTACCAGATGCCCTTTTTCAGTCTACCTTCGATTATTCGGCTGAAATTGCTGAATGTGCCGAGAGATTGGGGGTTGATCAGGGTCATCGAAATGTGAAAGCTCTACGGCAGTCGCTACGAGAAAATGCATTTGAGGAATGGGCCAACTGCAGGTGGCAGGGTATTGGTGTTCGCCATTTTAAAGAGACCCCGAAAGCGAATAGATACATCTACGAAAAGCAAGTACTTTCTGGGTCTGAATGGTCGAATGCCCTAAAACTAAACATTAATTATGCACCCCTGCGTGGAGTCCCAGGAGTCAGCGGACAGGTCAGAGAAGTTGGGTCCCTCTGCCGTAAATGCGGCAGAGAGTCTGAAACACCAGCACATGTGCTGGGAAAATGCCCCAACAACTCCCTCCTCATAACACGTCGTCACCACCGGGTCAAGTTCGAATTGATGAGGCTCCTTAGGGAAAAAAAATTCACCTGCTTTGACGAGGTATATTGCATCGATAGTGAGGGCTCTACGAGATACGCTGATATCGTCGCATTTCCCAAGACAGGAAGGACAGCGCTGATCTTGGATCCAACTGTCCGCTTTGAGAGCAATGACCTCGATCAGGCGGGTGAAGTGGAAAGGGAAAAGAAGAACACGTACGATAAATGTATCCCTTTCCTAAAAGAGAAATTCCGTGAGACCTTCGGAGAGAGAGAGTTCACCGTGAGAGGCCTCTGGTTTGGGTCTCGCGGAACTATCCCAAAAAGAACAAGGAGCTTCCTCGAGGAACTAGGTGTCGACATTAAGGACGTAGCGAGGTTGGCTGAAAATATAGTCCTCGACTCCCTGGGAATCATTCACCACCACGTGCATGGCTAGCCCGAGAGTTTTAATTTATGTATTTGTTTATTTATTTATTTAGTGAATAATTGAAAACAATAGCGATAAAGAGAGAGAAGTGAGAGAAAGGGAAACTTAATGTTAAATAAAAAAAAAAAAAAAAAAGCATGAACAATGAGAAGAAGGAAAAAGGAAAAAAAAAAAAAAAATTATAAAGATAAATAAAATAATAAAAATGTATATATATATATATATTTCTGTTTTACTAATATTAACTAATACTTCTGTATATTTATATATAAGTTCATATATTGTCTTAAGGATAGAAGAGTATGCTGTGTGTATAGCAACCCAATGTAATTGGGCAGCAATCCTTTATATTTTATATTTTATGAAAATAAAGTGTTTCTCTCCTAGCAGATTTTTTCAATGGTTTAAGGAATTTAGTAATTTTAAGTTGTAAACGCACAAACATTTCTGGTTTTACCTTAAGCTGCAATTTTGTTTTTTCTTTTATTAAAATAATAAATCCAAGACAAACAAGAGGAGACCCATGATATTCATCTAAAATACATCTTTATAAAAATAAACTGGACACTGCTTTCAAAAGTTCCCTAAAATTAAATTATAGTAAACTAGGGTTTTTTTTTGCAGTTTTCAACCAAATAATAAAATGTGTTTCATTAATTTTAATTTGAGAGAAGGATTTTAGTGTTACATTAAAAATAGTATATGTAATTATGATAACATTGGGATAACAAAATAAATGTATTAGATTTAATAAATTATTATATTTATTAACTGCCACTTTTCCAACCTTGGTCTTTATATTATTGGAGAATTTCGATAAATCAAGGATGTCCGTATAAAGCTCCAGAATCTAGAAAAAATTAAAATACATAATATAATGATCGTAATATCTTTTTAGTTACATTCTAATATATGATAAATGTATTTACATACTTTTACTAGGCGATATATAATATGTGATAACTAGAGACCGCATTTTCATGTCATTGCACATTATACTCTCTTGCATATTAAAACTTAAACCCGACAATCTATCTGTTTCACGATCTGTAGATTTACATATTGAAATTTGATATAGCATGTTTGCTATTTGTGGCCTAAATCGCACAATTTTGATTTTCATTGCATCAAATGCACTTTTTATACCAGATTGAAATGATTCAAAAAAATTAATATATATGTGAGTGTAAATATTTTATTATCTTTTTATTACTAATCTTTTTATTTTACTATCGTGTCCATATTAAATTTATAATATAGAAAGATGTGGGGAAGGTGAATAATTCTATGAATAACAATGGTTTGAATTCAATGGTAACAAAAGGAAGAAGTAAGCACAATTGGGAAATATTCTTAGAATAGAACTAGCCTAAAATAATGGAAAACAATAAAAAATTGCCTTCCTAGAATAATCTGCTTTGTTAGAAAGAGATTTATTGTTATTGTTTTGACTTGAATTTTCACTCATTCTTCAGCCCTTCAGTATCATTTTTGGCTTTGAAGTGAATGGTAGTAATTTAATTATTAAAAATTAAAAAAAAAATTGAATAATGCCGAAACTAGGATCTGATTTCTTGTAAAATATTAAAATGTCGATGTGATATTATCCCAAGTTGAAATTTGATAAAAAAAAGTTATTTCTGTATGCTCTGTGAAAATTCAATCAGGTGTGACTGAAAATCATATGTAGAACCAGTAAGAACAAATATTTATGTTAGAGAATCAAATGCTTTTTTAAAAACATTAGTGCTCTAAAAAAAGGTGATGAATTAACAGCAGTAATATAATCTAAATGCTTGAAAATTTCAAATATTACCGTGTATTTCTAAAGTATTCTAAGAATTTCATTTGCAATGTTGCATTTTTATTTTTATTTTTCCTCATTACACATTATTTTAACTCAGGAGCTTAACCCAAAGTTTGATCACATTTCGATGTAATAATAAAATAAATTAAACAAAATAGATGATTTTTGCACATATTTCCACTTTTTTAATAAACGATTTTCCATATTTTGAGTTTTATTTATGAAATGAAATGAAAATATATTTTATTATTCTGGGACTGTTGTCCCTTTTGAACAAATTATAAGTACAGATTGCATGTCTGTGTGGTCATAAATAAATTATATATTTACAATAAGAGTTAATTAAAAATAAAAATACTAAAGAAGAGAGAGAAAAAGACAAGAAAATTGTACATATATATAAGACAGACATAGGAAACTAAAATAAATTGAATTAGTCTCTGGGAAGTACTTAGATACTGTAATAATAATACTTTATTTATTCTGGAACGAGTCCTTTTAGAATAATACAGAAAGACAGGAATGTGGGCTAAGGAGCCTTAGAAATACATAAACAAAAATACAGAGTAATGAAATAGTCATAATACAAAAAATATAAGTTACTTTCTAATTTTCATCATTTACTAATAAAAAATAATGAAGAACGATTTAGTAATTTATATGTATATTTACAGTAGTATCTATTTAAAATTTTATGGGAACTGCATGGATAAGAAATAATTGAATAGGATATAAAAAAGGAAATAGAAATAATTGAACACCTCGAGATCTCCAGGAACGCCCCCATATACCATACAGCAATAGTCAAAGTGGGGGGAAAATTAAGGAAGTGACTAGGAGCCTATTGGTTTCAAAGGGAAATAGGGGAGTAATTTAGACGATTTAAGGTGGAAATGGTATGCCGGCAGATATTGGATATATGGTTTTCCAGGAAAGCATTTGATCAACAGTTATTCCAAGGTTGGATAGAATAGAAGTAGGATGGAAGTCGTGCAATGAGGTAGGGTTAGAAATTTTATTCAAAGGTCAGACTAGAGCAGTTTTGCAGGAGGGTGGGAATATGGAATTTTGCAATGAGAAGTTGTAGATATGATAAAGGACAGGAAGGCTGGATTTTATTAGTTTTACTGGAATATTATCAGGACCATAATCATTAGTGGTGGGATTTTAGGATAGTGGAAAGTAATTCATCATAGGGCAGATGGGAGAAAAAGAAGTCTTCAGGATTGAAATTGTGATGTTTAATATCAGAAATAGGAGAAGAATTGTGAGTGAAGCATAAGAAATGGTTATTGAGATCATCTGGAGAAAGAGAGAAGGAACTAAGATAATTGTATTCTGGTAAGGATAGATCACGGGGTATTTTCCATTTGGATTTGGAGTCAGGAGCATTGGCAAGGGCATCATTAAAGTAGGTGGCTTTAGCAAGTCGGACTGTGGATTGGGTTCCATTGCGAAGTGCCTTGAAAGATGCATAATCCACAGGTAAACGGGTTCTACAGTAATTGCGCCTTGCTGTATCTCTTCTTTTCATCATTTCTTTTATTCAATTGGTCAGCCAAGGAGCAGTAGGACGGCATAAGGTGTTGATTTTCAGAGGAGCATGGATGTCAAATATGGATTGTAGGTTTGAGGTCAGGATGGATTCCATAGGATCAATGAAATTATAGGAATATATGATGTCCCATTGGATAGAATTAAGGTCTGGTTGAAGGAATTCATAGGAGAGAAGATTTAAATTGCGGTATGAAACTATTTTGGGAGTGAAGGATTTCACGGGAAGGTTGTATATAATTTGGATCAGGTCATGTGCTGAAAAATATGGAACAGGATGTTGAGAAGAGGAAAGGATTTTGATGAGAGAGTCAGAGATATAGAGATCTAACCAAGTGTCGGAAAATTGCGTGTGATGGGTTGGAGAATAAGGTACAAGACGAAGGTTAAGGGGAAAACATTATATATTACTGCATGTTTTCCAGATTTTTACTGCACGAAGATTCAGTCTCCAGTGATAACTATCAATAATTGATTTAATTATAGAGGGAAGACTGGTTAAATTTTTTCCTTCTGCATGTGGAAGGAAATACAGAAAATGTTGAGACCATTGCTTTTTAAGAAATAAAGTATTATGCACCACTTGTAAATCCCAGTAGAATACACAAAGGTTCAAATGGTTCCTCAAAAATGGATATTGCAGAAAACATAGTAATTGTCTGTGTATGAGGTACAATGAGGAGGAACAGGGTATGTTCAGAATTTCTAAGATTTCATGATTCATCTAATGTTGGTTCCTTAAAAAACAAACACAAGGTAATCAAGAAAGTTCACAAACAACTTCTAGAAGCAGAGACTAGATTTAAGACATACGAAATTCATCCACATGATGAAAATTCCTCATTTCACAATCACCAATAGCCTAAATGATGAATTTTCGTATATATATATATATATTGTAAAGTAGCTTTTCCTGGCCATGCACTGTTGAGGCTCAGGCTTCAATTTAAACTAATTCTAATGATTTTTTTTTTCATTATTCAACTTGAACATTCTTAATCATCAGAGTGAATACGCCGTCATTCTTAATCATCAGAAACAGTCTGAGTTGAACTTATAAAACTAAAATTGACTTTATCTCCGCTTTCTGAAAATGACAGAGATCCGTCTTTGATATGAAGCCACTCATATATTTTCATGTTTAATTGTTTTTATATTTAATATATTGTTTAATGTTCAACTTTATGTTGATCATTTTATGGCAAATAAAAATGTTAATGTTTGTTTGTTCAAACTATAAAATCTTGGAAAGTTCTTCACACATTGCATTGAAATTTTGGCTTAAAGTTGCATTTAAATACATGTGTGGTTTAATATATCTACTATTATAAAATATAAGGTGAAACTATACACATTTATTAAAAACACACCTTCAGTAGGATGTAAAAGCTATACATACAGTTCAAAATATTTTACGATACTGTTTCAATGTTAAAGATTTTCAAATATCAATCGTGGCAATGCATTGAAAATGCGCTGTACCATTTATCATATCGTTCATTTCGTGTGCATTAGAGCTGCTTTCCATCTTCCTCAAAAGATTTCGTATACCCCTCCTAAGATATTTGATTGTTTGCTTTTTCTTAATAACAACTTGATTAAATATATATTTGTAAAAATTGTAGTGGAAAAATAAACCTTACTCATGAAAGAAAGCCTACGATAAATGGCACAACCTTATAAAAAATAAAATAAACTGATTTCTAAAAGGAACATATCCGTGATAATTATTACTCAAGAATTAAATATTTTTAAATAATACCAAACCAAATATTTGAGATGTATCATAATACATCCAGAATACATTGGAAGAAAAATAAAAAATGAATATCAAGAGCATATAATAGTATTGACCTACATAAGGAGAATCATATCACTTCTTCAAATGACAATTTCAATTACTGCAGTAACTGGACAGGACGCTTTCAAATGAATATGGGTATTATCAATAAAAAAATTTGTACTTTTTGAGTTAATACTGATAATGAAATACTGAATTCATGATAAAAATTTATGCAGCTTGTTTTCGGGAAAGTATATTATACACATAAATTAAAAGGATTTCAAGGGGAAGACTTTAGCCAAGTTTCGTTAAAATCGTTTAAGCCGTTTTGGCACTACAGTTTATAGCGACACGTTTTTTGGCCGCATTAAAAATTTTTAGATAATACCAAACCAAATATTTGAGATGTATCACAATACTTTCAGAATACATTGGGAGAAAAATGAAAAATGAGTATCAAGAGCGTATAATATTTGACCTACATAAGGAGAATCATATCACTTCTTCAAATGATAATTTCAATTACTGCAGTAACTGGACAGGACGCTTTCAAATGAATATGGGTATTATTATTAAAAAAATGTGTACTTTTTGAGTTAATACCGATAATAAAATACTGAATTCATGATAAAAATGTATGCAGCTTGTTTTCGGGAAAGTATATTATACACATAAATTAAAAGGGTTTCAAGGGGAAGACTGTAGCCAAGTTTCGTTAAAATTGTTTAAGCTGTTTTGGCGCTACAGTTTATAGCTACACGTTTTTTGGCCACCATTTCGAAACGAAAGCCCAGATGGTAATAACATGTTCAAAAACACTCCAGAATTTTATTAAAACGCTGTCTCAAAATTTCAAAGCAATCGGTGAAGAACTTTCGGAGCATAGCGGCTTTGAACAAAAAAACATTTACATTTTTATTTTGTTTACAGATATAAAAATATACTGAGACAGAAGTACTATGCCAGAAACCTTTGCGGGAGTGTATGCAACAACTTCTCAAAGTTTCATGGCGATCAAATGAATGGTTTAGTAATGCATAAAGGACAAACTGACAGACAGACATACATTAATTTTTATATATATTGTAATGTCAACATTACATGGCATTTGAATATTGGCGCAAAAGTGGTAACAGCACGAACTACGGGAAGGAAGTGCGTGCGGATGGTGGAGGAAGCAAGCCTCATGTAACTCAGAATGTGACGGGCCGCCAAGAGAGAAGGTGAGAAGCTGTCAAGAGAGAAGGTGACGAGCTGCCAAGTGAGAAGGTGCTAGCCAGCAAGCTGAGAAAGTGAAAAAGGAGTACTAGCCGGTTCGAGTGTTGATAGAGGCCAATAGTGGAGATTATTTATGTTGGAAGAAAAAAACATAGCAGAAAAGAATTAAGTGGTACAGAAAACGGGACATTCGTAAGTAAGAAGAGATTATTTCGCTGACAGGCGTAAACATTTGGGTGAGTGCTAACAATGCCATTTATGTTGACAGAGGGATAGAACCAAAAGTTTAGACCGGGACAAATTATTTTATAAAACTATTTTAAATTATATATAAGTGTAGTTAGTAATTAGTAAATTAGTGGAGATTATAGTTATTTAATGTTGAATGAGTGTTCAGTTGTCAGAACCCAACCTGAGATTTATGTTATATGTCAAAATAAATAGTATATTGAAAAAGGAAACTCGTTGTTTGATTTTGGAGGGAAAGAGGAACGTTACAATATATAGATTAGTATATTTCAGGAGGAGATTGGGGATGATGTAGATAGGCTGAAGAACCACAACGTTCCAAGGTGCAATGGATTCCCTGCAGAGCTCATACCTTATAAAGACATGGCACTGGTTAAGGCATTTCAAAACCTTTTTATATCAGAAACGGTTGTTATGCCGAAATAATAATAATACTTGTATAATAAAGAAAATAATTGATTCTTGTTCTTTTAATTATAAATTGAGCTACTCTATCACTATTACTAGTGTCCTTAAATGTGACAGAACATAATATTAATCAATAAGCAAAAATTTTAATTCTAAATAAATTAAATTATAATTTTTACCAAACAGGGATAAAGAGATGCCAGCATTTTGTGAATAGTAGTGCAAAAAATTACTGGACGAATACTTATTAAATCAGAAAAAGAAATTGGTTTGCATAAAAAGTTGCATATTAATGTAGTCATGATGTTGAATATGCTTTCAAAATCTAATGTAATAGCATATTTGCCAAATTATAAAAAATATGTGAAACACACTTCTTTTTATCAGCAAAGTTACCTTATCTAAATTGTTTAAAAGGAGATATTTTTCAGTCTTAATAGTAAATCTTTGCACTAAGAAAAAAAAGTCAAATTTTTTTCATAGTTTTACTAGTATTTTAGGTTAATTAAAATCAGTGAGTGGCTCTTTAGAAGATTTAGTTGTTCAATGGTGAATAATGAAAAGGTGACATACACAGACCATGTAGGTATGTTTAATTTTCTACTTCTCTGATCCTCATCACAAGTAAACAGAGATGGGGCCTCGAAGAACAAATATATTTTCTGATGAGTTGAATACAGAAAAAAAGAGAGGCAGTTATTTAAAAACTTATTAGTGCTAAGGAGCTTTATTGAAGCAAAATCTCTTGGTTATAATGAATATTATGTATTCTCACAGACATTTGCTATATTCATATTATTAAAATAAGACAAAATGATAGAAATTATTTGACCAAATATTAATAATATTTTTTTTAGTTACCTGTCTCATAATGTGGTGGATATGAGTCAGTTGAATAAACATAAAGCCGCCATGAACCACCACATTTCTCTTTACTGTGAGGACATGAAGACTGGCACTCGCTGTCTTTTTTCTTCTTGTTTTCATTTGGTTTCTGGTTTCCACAAAAGCATTGGTCCCTTATCAGTAATGAAATCAATTATTTTATTTACTTATGGGATATTATCTCTTTTACAGCTCTCTAATATTTTGTTTACACAAAAACCCATTTGGACTGAGGAAAAGTTAAAACTTAAACATAATTTTTACTTTTGATAATGCTGAAAAACTTTGTTTATCCAAAAGAGTTATTGGCTGTATATTTTGAATTGCATTTTATTAATCTTTTGAAAATACCCTGTCATTTTTTTCTATTACAAGAATGTGCAATTCTTTGATTTATTTTAGATAAAATGTTCTCTAAACAATATTTAACAACGTAAACAATATTTTCTCTTTTTAAACTATAATGCCTATACAGCTACTAAATGTAAGCATGTGTAAAGGAAAAAATATATGTATATATTTCAACACTACCTCAATGATCAATTAAATATCTCATATTATTTCTTTCATTTTCCTTTAAAATAATTATTAAAAAATAATTTGTACTATATTAATAAAAACTTTAAGTTTGTTATTAACTCACCCATTTTCCACACCAGCGTAGTCATAGCGAAGGTGTTGACATAAATAATAACACTTCTTGGGACTGTTAATATCGTTCAAAGTTATTCGATACTCTGATAACAGTCTCTTTCCAGAATCTTCAAAGCAGCCAAGGGCTGATTGGCTTAAGTTTTCATCTGAAACAAATTCAATATTTCTTTTAGTTATCAATTTTCTGTTTTTATCTGTAGCATACAGCACTGAACGTTGCATAAATATTAATATATGTGCTAGTATACTAATGAGAACTGTCACATATAGGTATCCGCAAGGTTGCCCGAAATTTTTGAGGGGACACATTTTGATAGGTTTTGTATTTTTGAGAGGAGGAAATTTAGATAGGGTAATGAATTTTGGGAATGAAAATTTCAAACCGAGGGATACACGGAACAGACCGCAGCAACTGCAATTGTATATATATAATCTATGATTTTTTAATTAGATAAACAAGATGGAGAAAAATCTGGTGCGCGAATTACACCAAATTTTTACTTACCGGTCTACTTTAAATAGGCATTATTTTATGGCAATATTAATAATTTTTTAAAGTTCATTTTTACTAGAGCTAAACCTTAAAGCTTATAGCTGACTTCTAACAACTCATTAAGGCCATTAAAACAACAATTATATCAATGATAGTAAAAAAAACCTAGCAACTCCGTTTGTTTTTGTAAACCTAATAACTCCAGTCTCTAAGCTGTACATGATTAGAGATAATTGAAAGTACTTATGTATATTTAACCTATAAATGATTAGGGATTGTACTACTATTAATTCTTAAATCCTTATTTTTGCATTGCATAGTTTACTAAAATGGAGTTGCGAGATCTTTATTGTCCACTATTGATAAGTCATATGCCTATCTTAAATACATAATATCATTTTCATATGACTTTTTGTTTTTGAGCTAGACTGTACACAAAGACATAGACTATTTTGCGGGTCTTGTTCATTTGGACTCAGGGACCTCAAAAAGTCAATTTCTGTTGAAAACTCAGATTCAAAAATTTTCACGATTGTAATTATATATTATATTATAATCATATTATATTATATTATTGTTTAAAAGGACTGAAATCTAAATATTTGTACTGTGGACTAGAAGAACAGTAATCCAGCTTTCCAACAGTTGTACTAATTGTATATATTGTAATTTTAATATACAACTTTATTGGAAGTGAGTAAAAAGGGTTTAATAAATTAATGTTGAACAATTAAAAGGCAAGCTAATCTAGTTTCACTAGTTCAGAGAAAAGAAAATGGCTGCTCTGTAGTTTTCCATGAAGGAAAATCCCAAAGAGGAAAGGGACAAAGGTTTTTGTTTTGGCAAACAGTTGTTGTGTGACTGCAGTGAAGAGAGGATAGCAGAAGTTATCCTGGCTCCAGTGGGAAAAATCCAGTAATAGATTACCATCTTGGAAGTTGTTGTTTGGCAGAGAGACTAGTTGTTTGGAATTACATGAGAGAGGATCTCCCAGGGAGCTTGAGTTGAGTAGAAGAAAGTGTCACTATTTTGGAAGTTGTGTTTGGCAGAACATTGGAAAGCATTTGAAGACAAATGAATTTAGTGCCACAAAAGATAAACAGTGTATATAGAAAAAAAGGTTAGCTTGCCAATCCATATTTGACTTTATTTTAAAATCAAACAGTGTATTTAGTATATATATTTTTTTTATTTGCTTGCAGAGCCCATTGGAACGCCGGGATATTTGTCTAATATTTTTCCATGTATTATCACCGAATGAAATTGGTTGGAATCGGTGATTCACAGACTGTAGCCTCCACTTGTTGGTTCTTATACATTCACTTTAATAAATCTAAAACTGTCATCGTCTCGATTTCCGAACGATAGCCCTGAGGATGGCCCGCATGTTTGGATCAAAATGTTGGCTAACCTAGTAAAAATATCTTGAGTAAAATTTCTGACTATTTTGTTTCATCTTTATGTAGGTAAATAAACTAAATCATTTTTTTTTAATATTCAACATTTTTTAAAAATATTGATATATCTTTTTTCTTATAACATGGAGGTATGTAAAAAATAAATAAAATGCGAAATTCAAAGCTTTATAATTCCTAATAATTTGTGAAACTTCCAATGATATGAAATCTTCCACAACAAATTTCATTTCCATATCAGAATCATATTTTTTATTTAGCAATCTAAAGTTATTTGGATAAAGTAATTATGTTTTTTCTCATTTATCTGAATCTTGACATTTTAATTATTTTTAAAATCTCCTTATTGCTATATTTAATTCATGACTTGGATTAAATTATATTCATGATTCAATCAGACTACATTTTAATCTAGTTTTAAGATTCATTTTTGAAGTAGATATGGTTCATTCTAGAATTCTGTTAATCCAGTTCCTCGGCAACCTGCTCTACTTGATTTCTAAAAACCACGTCTGTGGCACTTCTCCCGACCCCTCTCTCTCTATCTCAAAAAAAATAATAATAATAATAAACCTTGAATCCGCTACTGTCTAAAATTAATCATTTATTAATTATAAGAATAAATATTATGTTATTTTAACAAACTGTAATTTTTTGCCATTTCCTGATTTAATTTTGTTTATTTATTGCTGTCACCAGAAGCCAGAAATGAAATATGTTGTTCATTCATCTTGTAATTGCTTACAAAACATTTTCTAGATTAAAATACTTTTTTTGAAACAAAGTAAAAATAATTTTATTTATTATAAACAAAGTAAAAATTAATTTATTTCCATAGACTTTTGTCCTGATTGATTTTATAAATAGCTCTGTATTTTACACAAATATTGAAAACTTTCTTCTTTGTGACATTAACGGCTTAATTCTTCATCACAAATATTTGTTCTCAAACTCTTTGAGTTATTGAATGTCCTAAATAGTTTCTGGAATCAGTTAATTATTTTAATACATTGATGAGTCATTATAAATAGGGGACAATGATAATTCCAGATTGGCATTTTTCCATATAACATTTTAGCTATGTATTTTAGAACCCCAAAAAATTTCATGAACTAAACTGAAAATTGCTTCAGACAACAGCTGTTAGTAGGAAGTATTAACAGCAAATGTACCTGTTATAATTGTCTGTGTGTTTGGATCGACTAATGTCCTGTAAACTGCAATCCGCCAAGTTGCACCGCAATATTCTTGTCGGTTGTGTGGGCAAAAAGTCCTGCATTCGTTTTCGCCTTTCTTGTTGTCATCAGAAGGTTTCTTGTTGCCGCAGAAACATTCATTTCTGGAAGAATAAACTATTTTGTATATTGAGTAAATAAATGGATTTGTTTATATTATCATCTTGATGGCTTGATATTATGAATTGATGGCTACTAAGTAATACCTCCTAACTGCTTAACAACTGTACTACAGTCGGGACTAAAATCTGTTTTGAAACGCTATACAAAATCATCCAAGTTTTTTTTGTATTTTTTATGACTAAGCTCTAAGGAAGCATTTTAAAATACAATAATGTTTTTCTGATTCCTGACTGTTTGCGACAGTATAAGTTGTCACCAGAAATACTGATTACTCAATCATGTTCTATATTTTAATGTATATATTCTATTTTTAACATATCTCTATCTTTCCTATAAAGAAGAAGTTTCACCAGTTGATGACGTTTTTGTTGTTATCAGTTATGATGTATTTCTTTTTAGCCTTCAATATGTTCAAAAACTTTCTAATATTGTCGATGGACAGCTATTTCTAAACATTTTTAAGTAGAAAAATTTCCTTGGGTTGGAAAGCTGTGAATCCAGCTTGATAAGAATTCAGCTGGATTGGATATTTAAATGGACATTGCTTATGCAAATTTGTTAATATATACAATATTAATAAAACATTTAGCATATAAATAACTGGAATATATACTTGATCTCTACTTACCCAAATTCTGTACCTGCATATAGGTAACCGAGAGCAGTACATACATGTATACATCTCTTCGGGTTGTTAATTTCATGGAAATTGATTCTGAAGTCGTTTAGAAGTCTTTCCCCAGAGTCTTGGTAGCATCCAATATATGTTCCCTCATCTACAGAACAAGTTAGAACACAATATCGTTTAAGATAGAATTTTGAAATTAAATCTTAAGCATAATAACTACATACATACATACATACATACTAAAGTTTTAGTGGTTAATCAGACACCCATGATTATATTCTATTAATAACATTAATATAAGCTACAAATCATGATCCATAAAGAGGGGTCATTCCATATCAACTCAATAATAAATAATAATATATGGGGTTCAATATGGACCCCAGCAATTGCTTATTACACACCTCCCTCCACCGTTCCCCATCCAAACCCACATCCTTCAGATAGGTTTTAATGCTATCTTCCCACCTTAGCTTCGATCTACCCCTCCGACGTTTAGCATTCGGTACAGCAAATATTAACCTTTTAGGAATTCTTTCGTTTCTAAGCCAAACCGGATACAGTTCACGCAATTCGGCGTTGTGCAACCGTCTGAACTCTCCGGTTAACTCATCCTTCTTCGGTCCGAATATTCTACGCAATACTTTATTTTCAAAAACCTTAAGAGGTTGCTCATCCCTTAATGTAAGCGGCCATGTCTCGCAACCATAAAGAACTGTAGGCAAGACAATGATTTTAAAGATTCTAATTTTTGAGTTCCGGCACAAGAGGCGCGAGCTAAGTAGTTCTGTCACAGAAAAATAACAAGCATTTCCTGCCTTCAGTCTAACCTTAATCTCTTCTTCAATTTCGTTTTTTCTAGTTATCGTAGACCCTGATACCTAAACTTTTCCACCTGTTCAAACATATTACCATCTATATCGATATAACCAGTAATATCGCCATTTTTGGAGCTAACCATATATTTTGTCTTATCCATGTTTATTTCGATTCCTAGTTCTTTACCGGCTTTCATTTACGTTGTCATATTTAGTTTTATAGTTTCCGTGTCTTCGCTTAACAGGATCAGATCATCAGCATAGCCCAGCACGGGTGTTGTCCCGCCCAGATCCAAATCTTTTTCGGTAGGCATTACCTCACTAATGGTATGTTCTAATGCCAAATTGAGTAGGACAAGCAAAAGGGGATCACCTTGTTTTAAACCCGAACGAACCTCAAACTTTTTAGATAGATTATTACCGATTCTAACTTTATTGAATGTCACCTTCAAAAACATCCTGTCTAGATTTACTTGTTTTTTTGGAATCCCCTGCTCGATTAGAATATCATACAGATTCTGGCGGTCAATAGAATCGTAAGTCATTTTGAAAACGATATACAGCTTGTCAACAACACCGTTGTACTCTAATTTTTTCTCCAATATTTGCCATAAAGAAAATATTGGATCAATAGTCGAACGATTCTATCTAAATCCGCATTGGTAGTCTCTAATAATTTTCTCGGCGTATTCCGTAATTCGACTAGTTAAGATTAAACTGAATATTTTATAACATACCGAAAGGAGTGAAATTCTTCGGGAGTTGTTACAATCTGTCCTCGGGCCCTTTTTGTGAATCGGAATAACAATATATTCTTTCCATTCTTCAGGTGATTTTTAACCAACAAATGTATTTTAAAAACTCCAGCTTTCCCGCATGCCTTAATTAGTTCACTAGGAATATTATCGGTTCCCTCTGCTTTATAAGATTTTAATTTTCCCATAGCTACTTTAACTTCCTCTTTACTCGGTTCTTCTAATAACGGTTCAGCACTCGGGTACTCAGAAGAAGGATACACATCATGATTTCCCGTATTTAAAATACTGTCAAAATGGTTCTTAAACTTATTTAATATGTCAACCAAATCGGTCAGAGTACTTTTATTTTTAAGAAATTTCTTTTTCTTATTTTTGAGCAATTTTGTCGTTTCCTTCTTTGGTGTTCGGAATTGTTACAGTTTGTCCTCGCTAGGATTATTTAGAGCTTTTAATTTAGCGGCTTTTCTTTTTTCGTACATGTTTCAGCAATCCTCATCAAATCTCGGTTTGTTATTCTTATTTTCCTTTTTTCCTAGACACGAGTTACCAACCGCTTTAATATTATCCCTGATCTCTACCCATAACTTGTCAATATTCTCGCGGCCCTCATCAGAAGGTTCTATAGCTTCAAACCTATTCTTATCATCTAGCTCGAATTGAGTTCTAATTGGTGGATTTTTTAATTTTTCCAAATTAAAATTCTTAAAATCGAAACGGTTTTCTTTTCTCTTTTTTATATTAAGTTTTTGTTGATGTTTCGCGATTTATGATCCGACCCACATTCTACTCCGCGATATGACCGTACATTAATTATACTGCTTTGTTGCTATGTTGTATCAAGACATGATCGATTTAATTTCGTGTTTGCGAATCCGGCAATGTCCATATATATTTATGAATATCCTTATGCTTAAACGAATTACTTTTAATTATCAGATTTTTTGAGATGACAAAGTTTATCAGACGGATTCTATTATCATTACTATATTCGTGAAAACTTTCTTTACCAATCGGCGGAACATAAACTTCTTCCCTCCCTCCATTTGCGTTTGCGTCACCTACAATTAGTTTCGCGGTAGTTCATTAAAGACCCATTCGAGTTTATAGTAAAATTCGCATTTGACTTCATCGTCACTGTCTTCGATCGGACAATGTATGTTAATTAACACGATTTTAAATCAACGGCCCTGAAATATAGCTACTGAAATTCTATCACTAAAGAACTGTACGTCCCTCAAAGCGGATAGCAATATATTCCTAATTAGAAACCCGGTACCTAAACAATGATTCCCGCTTCCTCCATACCAAATAGTGTACTTTCCTTCCCTCATCGAGCCCTCCCTTGGCCAGCGAACCTCTTGCAGAACCACGATTACTCTTTAAACCATCTCAATACTCTTTCCAATCCACATCGTTTAAGATTTTGTCGAAATTTTTCGCAGGTTCACTCTTGGCATTTTTCATGCTCTTTTTCATAATAAATGAGACCATACACCATTTACTAATATTTTTTTATACCTTGTTGTTTTTTATAAGTTAGGGAATTTAATTCTTTTGGAAAAGTCAGGGATTTTCGTCTCTCAGGAGAATATTCCGAAAATTTAGCGACGACAAATTAAAAGAAAAGAAAATAATAAAATTTTAGGAATTTCCATTACATTAATATCAAATATTTAGAGAAAAAACAAAACAAAGCAAATCATTAGTATCTGTTCAGAGTTGGCAGTTATAAAACGTTTGTGTGTTCTAATGTTACCTTCGATTGGGATGACATATGGATGTACAGAATAAGCAGCCAGCCTCCAAGTACCTCCGCACATCTGATTGCTGTTCGGGCATCTACTTCGGCAGTCGTTCTCGTTTTTCTTCAAGGATTCACTGGGTTTTTCTTTGCTACAGAAGCAGTGACTACTGCAAAAATATTAGGATGTGAAAGAAGAAACAGAAGTAAAGGAAATGTTGCAATAACTTCAATAATTATGTCTAGTTATCTCGTGAGAATAATTCACATTGTACAATTGGTCTGAGAACAGATGAAAATAGGTAAATGCACTATACTATTATATTGATATATTAATATAGATATTTGATTTCCTCAGTAATTACAATCGATCAAGGAAGTAAAAATTAATTTAAAATTTCATTCATGTTTTAAACCAATATGTTTACAAATTACAATAAGTTTTGTCTTTGCTAATAATAACAGAAACTCTATTATAGCCCAATTTATTTGACATTAACTCATATTTGGCATATAGCTACAGTATAAGTACAATGTTGAAACAGTTGGTACCGACTGAAGGAAGAATATAAAAGCTTGAGCAGCTGAGCTACGTCACTGAGGTTTTATTTTCCCATTATTTTATACTTTTTAAAAAGAACCCAACGGTTTATTGTATTCAAAAAGTTTTAAATTCAATATGTATATGCTCGCTAAGATTAGATAGTTTAAGAAATATTTTTATATAATATTAATTTATTTTCAATAATCTATTTAGAAAATTAGAAAAATCGTCAAACAAGAATTAGGACTCAAAGAGTAGATTTATAGATTCGCCAAAACAAAAAAACATATAATTAAGATATCATTTCGAAAGAAAACAACGATTACAGAATTCAGAACTCCATATATTACAAATGTCTATACATATAATGACAAATGGTCTGATTTCAATATTTTTTCGTTTTGTCCGGAATTTCTTATCTCTTAATTAATCATGAGTATAATTAAAAAAAGTATATATTTTTTTTAGTTATTCAGAAATAAACTGTTTTTCCTTCATAACTTTTTGCCAGTATTTTAGGGGTGCTATGGCTATTTTTCTCATCTGAAGGAGAAAGAAATGTTCAAAATGATCGCTCCATCTTTAGATTTGATCAAGAATTGGCGGATATATAGCCTACAGACAAAAACACACCTTTGACAAATTATATTGTTATATATTATATACTCTTCTCTGGACTATGGAGATCATAAATCGACGACATGAGGCATGAGGATTCAATGACATGAGGCATGCAGCACTACAATCAACGTGGCATTGTGTGGCTACGAATCCTTGGCCTTACATCATTTCAACAGGACCTTCGTAAACAAACTACCAATGGAGTTAACAAATAAAAACCAATAAGGAGTTTTTGTTAATTTATTCCATATGTAGGGATTAAATAAAAAAACCCTTCATACGGCTTTAAGAGCAAATAATTCAGCTTCCCGACGGATATAATAACATCAAATTTGGAGAATATCCTGAAGAGTTCTAAATGATCGGAAGGGTGCTGTGTTACACCAAGACAATTATCGGCCCCACACCTCATTGGTCACTCGCAATAAATTATTGAGCTTTGGATGGGATCTTTAGCCCAACCCTCCCTATTCACTAGAAATAGCTCCAAGTGACTACCACTTATTCCGGTCTCTGCAGAACTCCATGAATGGAATGAAATTCCAAAAGGAAGAGGATACCCAAAATCCACTTGGATTAGTTTTTTAACAATAATCTCCAGACATTCTATGAACATGGCATTATGCAGTTAGTGGAAAGCTGGGAAAAGGTCGTATTAAATAATGGTCAATATATTGTATATTAAAATAAATTTTATGTCTATAATACTTTGAGTTTTATTTCACCCTGAAAAACCGAAAGGACTTATTTGCCAACCCAATACTATCATTTATTAGTAATAATTTTTAAGGAATGAGTTGGTCCGGGGTGGCGGTCATAAAACGACTAAATAGTGGCAGAACTATTTTATTAAAAGCCAACGTTCGACCCAACTTTGCAGGTCTTCTTCAGGGAGGTGTGTTCAGCAAGGAGTTTCACACACCTCCCTGAAGGAGACCTGCAAAGTCGAGTCGAAACGTTGGTTTTACCAAAATAATTTTCCCACTATTCAGTCGTTTTATGACGGCCACCCCGGACCTTCGCATTCATTAATAATACAATAGTCAACTATTAAGTATTCATTAATAAATTTTGTTTGTTTCTAGTAAGTTCCTATTTTAATTAATTATAATTTATTCAGATTAACAGCACGTTTAGGTAAAATGTTTTCTAGAACAGATAATGAATAAACAAAATAAAAATAATTAAACTCTACCCAACATCAGCTTTTTTTTTACTAATCTTCTTCATTCTTGATTCAAATTTGAAGAATAATGAAGCTAAATCAAGGATATTTATGACAAATAGGTTTATTACCCAAATTCGACTGCAGCGTATGGGTATGAGAGCTGCTGGCATATCTTCATGCACTTGGGAGGGTTGTTGATGTCGCTGAGCTCCATTCGATAGTCCGCCATCACACGATTACCTTTGTCTTCGAAACAGCCCAGATATTCCCCACTGATCCATTGTGCTGCGAAATCATTAAACGATTTTTAAATTACAACTATTTTTTATATTTCTTTTTTATAATAAACTAACGTAAGTATGTATGTTATTATCATTTAGGGCCAGTTATACAATTGGAGTTCAAATCATGTTGAAACTTGAACTACAGTAAACCATGAAAATCATGAATTATTGACTGTAAGCTTAAACTTGACTTGAACTTCACTTGTAAAACTGGCCCTTAGAGTTTAATAATAAATAATAAGTTCAATAATTTAAATGCAAGATAATTATAAACAAATGTTTCTTCCTACTACAGTCACTCCACTAATGTAACTTGTGTAAGGTATTTTCTTTCTTTCTTTATTTTTTTGCCACCCCATCCCACAGTGGTCAAAACTTAACCTATTCGGCATTTTGTTCTTCGAGGCAAAATTTTTATATTTCCTTTATATGAACTTCTACATTAGAGTTTGTACAGAACATTTAAGTACCTAATAGGGTAAAAAGAAAAAACAATTGTTTTAGTTATTTTCCAAACTAATGAAAATTTCAATTTTTTTATGACATCTCATAGAAAATATAATTCTGAGAAGAAAATACTTAATTACTTTTTTGCGAAAACCTCTTCGGAAGAAAGTCATTATGGAAAATAACTAAAATATACAATGCTTCGATACCTTTGGTAGTGAGGAAGTAAACCATGAAAATTTAAGATTTTAAAATCACAATATCTTTTAAGGCGGGGCTGTTAATAGAATGTGACTTATGTAATTTTGTTTCACATGAAATAGTAAACAAAACACATCTAATTTGGTCAGGTTCTACTAGTATCCCGCTGAGTTATCGGCATTCAAAATTTCGCATTTATTAATTATATCGCATTTACCACCCCTAACTTTTAATTCGTCCACCCTAAAGCGGCAATAATGTATACATTTGATTGATTTATTTACATTCATTACTATGCTTATTTATTACAACTTTTAGTAGAATTTCGGGGCATTAAAAGGAATTCCACAAGGATGTGATTTTAAACGATCTCACGTTGCAGATTGAATAGGTGGAGGTAAAATTTATTGTTTTGTCTATATTTAGACACAATAATTCATGTATGTATTGATTTATTCATATAAGCTAGTGAGTAATTTATTTCCATTAAATAACAAACAAAATAAATAAATTGAATCATGCTACATATTTCTAAAATTATTAAACAATATCTGTATTTAAGTTCATATAAATTAAATTTTTATTCAATTCATTAATACAGATCCTAATTTTATAGATTAATATTGTTATTACGGATTGCGAATTTAATGACAATATTGAGAATCTTTCGATATATTTCCCATATTTGATAATATAATTTGCTACAAAATTCACTAGTCGCATCGTAAAATAAAACCGAGATACATTATTTATCTGAGTCAAAATCAACCTATTACTTTCTTTGACTTGTGAAAATTGTGTATTGTATAAATAATCATTAGATATAAATTAATTGAGCTTTAGTTTGTTCATATTAATAAACTAATAGTCTGTGGTACAGACCCTTTCATGTCAAATTATTAACATCCGACTGAAACTTCGTAAATAGCTTCATCTTATTGTAACCTAGATATATTTTATTTACGAACATTCTCGGAATTAGGGAGTTTTCGATCTGGAGGTCGGTAAACTTTGTCTATTTAATTAGGTACCAAAAACTCGTAAATGCTCATTTGCTTTCTACTTGGATTGTAATATAATTTGATCGTAAATCGATAAAAAAGGTGGCTAATAAAAATATTGGGCCGTTTGTCAAATATAACCTTGTTATTTTGAAAATTTGGGAGTGTAGGTCACGTCAAACGGTTCAAATTATCTTACGAACCAAGTAGAAAGTAAATGAGTATTTATGAGTTTTTAATACCTAATTTAATAGACAAATTTTACCCCTCTCCAGATTAAATACGCCCCAATTCCAAGAGTTTTCGTAAATAAAATCGTTGTAGGTTACGATGTGATGAAGTGTTTTTCTTTTTTTTCTTTTTTGTCCTATTAGGTACTTAAATCTGCTTTGCAAACTCTCTTGTCAAAGTTCATATGAAGGAAATATAAAAATTTTGCCTGAAAGAACAAAATACCGACATGGTTTTTAATTTTTGACCAAGTTTTTAAGTATTGTCCTCGCCTTCTATAAATTTTGACTCAACGTAACAGTGTTGTTTTGGATTTACAATTAATAATTTATTAGGTTTAGAAGTTTTTGTTTTTAAATTCATTATTTTTTTAGTTTGGTAAATTTACTTTAAAAGGATATCCCAGGGGGATACGCCAGTATTTGAGGGAGGGATAGCTTGGACAAGCTCCTAAACTCAGCGCTGAGCTTGAGTATCGCCCAGTTTAGAGATGGATCTGATGCCATCAATGTACCCAAATGTAGTTTCGTGCCGCCAACTGCACCTTCCTGTCTTAAATTGTCGAGATATTATTTTTTTAAAGGAGTTTCCATGAATTATTTACTCATGAATAGTTAAATTGTTTTAATCTAACTAAAAATTTAACATTTGTTGACCCCGTTATTTACTTAATCGTTGAGTGTATTGAAAATTAATTTTCAGCAATTATAAATACGATTTCTTCAATATTTTCCATTGAACTTAATTTAGTACTATATGTAATTTTAGTGTGTAATGATTATTTTTCAAAACAAATCTCAACAACAACAAAAAAAAAATTACTGCAGGGCATGTATATAAAACAATCAAGCTCCAAAATATTATTAAAATATATATGTTGATTTTCTTATGGAACATCAAGATCCTTACTAAAAATATAATATTTAATAATTTAATAGTCCAGTATATATTTAATATATATATATATATATATATATATATATATATATATATATATATATATATATATATATATATATATTAAATTACAGATTTAATGAATTTAATTTTTTTAAATAAAATAAATATGTTAATTAATTTAATGATATAAATAACACTCATTAAATCAGAGGATCGTTATTGTTATTATCTGAAACAAAACATCAAGGACATGAGAATGAAAATTACAGAAGGCAAAAATAGTTAGATGAGAAAAAAATGGGTGATGGTACGACGGCAGGTAATTTGGCTTCTAATTGAGGTTGAAATAGTAGGGATAAGGATAGAATGAACTCAACCCGGAAACATTCAAGATTATCAGAACAATAAACATAGGACTTAATCATAGATATCTTATAATAAAACGCTAAATTAATCACAAAAATAAATTACGGCCAGAGTGTTAAAATTTATTTTTTTATTAAAAAGACTGATTTAAGTTTCGTCTTAAATATATACGAATATATTACTAAATTTTGGAAAAATACAACGTGGAAAACTTTTTGTGAGGTCTTGTTTTGTATTTCATATATTTGATTATTAATTTATTTTATACCTGTTGTTATATATAAATATATTTTTATAATTAATTTATCAGAATCTTATATATAATGCACTAGCGGATCCAGGATTTAATTTTGGGGGAGGCTTCAGCCCGAAAGCTTTTTTTGTCATAAAGATAACGATAACTACTTTGGAAAAAAAGAAAGAAACTAACTAGGTAGTTTCAACAGGTGTATGAAATGGTGTTTAAGTGATTCCTAAAGCCCTTTTAAATGTAATTACACGAACAATAATACTTTGAGAGATAATTTTTTCGAATAAACATGGTTATATTTTCCCACTTTGGGGGCTAAAGCCCTCCCTCTCCCCCGTTGATCCGCCCGTGATATAATGTATGTTTATGTAGAAATGAATATGTCAAATTCTTCTTAGCCATATGGCTTTGAAGCATCGAGCAAGTACGCAAGCAATTTGATTAAAAATGTAATTTTTAAAAAGTATTGTCTTATTTTTCACAAAGTTCTCAATATCAGTAAACACTCCTAATATTTTTTAGAGAAAAGAAAATTAGGAAAGGGGGTATAAGGACCAAGATTACCCCCGTGTTGCTGTAAGTAATTTAAATTATTATCGATCTTAAACAACCTTTTTAGTATAAAGACTAAACATAAATAACAAAAAATATTTTTTTTAAAAAAGAACTAAAAAATAATTTTAAAAAATCCAAATAAATATTTATGTTTGTCATTAGTGAAGAAAACAATAATTTAATCGAAATTGGATTTGGTATTATTTGTGTATTTTTCAACTTCTTATCCTTCTTCACTGACGAAGATAGGGAAGCTTTGTATTCGTGCGGAAGGTTAAAATTATTATTGTTCTTGGAATCGAAGATTTTCACTCGTGTTTTATGTTTGGATATCAAGGAATGTATTCGGTTCTGTTTCTGCCAATATGAAATCCATGTGACGAGATATCACCTATTTCCAATAATCAGATTTTGATGAAATTTTCACGGATTGTGCAAGTTGATACCTGGATAGTCAGATATCAACTTCATCAAAACCTAATCACTACTTCCACTTGCGGAAGCCCAAACGTATAATGATACGCCTATATAATATATCTAAAATGGTCCCCGTGCAACCGAATTAAGTCACAGAAGAGATATAGCTGATTGTTATCCTTCCCCATTCCTTGCATTTGATTATTGTCAGACCGTTTTCTGATCATCATAGTTTGTCGACAGGTACAATGTCTGATATGAAGTAAAAAAAAAGATAATTGATCGCAATAACCGAGATTTTTTTTAAGTGAAATTTTTTGGGCGCGCTTTTTTTTTACCCTTTAACTAGGTCTTCATATACCATAATCTATTTATATGTTCCTTGGAGAATAAACTGTTTCCACATCTTATTTTTTATCGTTCTTATAAATCTTTCTACCATACAAGCTCTCATATCACTAAAAGTAGAGTAATGATTTATTTTGTTGGATTTCATTAATTTTTGGAAAAATCAATTGTAGAACTCTTTTCCTCGATAAGATTGTGAGTTACGTGATTTTCTACCATCCTGGATTAGGATCTTTTCAAAAGCTGACGTTATTTCTTTACCAGATTTCGACTTCAATGGAGATAGCCATCCAAATTTAGGAAAACAATCGATTACAGCTAAAATATATTTATAACCTCTATTTCCTTTGGCGTATTAACACACCTCGATTAAATCTACCATCCACAGGTCATCGATACCCTTAAGAATCATCCTCCTCCTGTGAAAGAACCGTCTAGCCGGTTTATGCGATTCTTCGACTACCTGTGTCTTGATATCGGACATGGTGAGAGATCAATCAAAACAATGAATAACAACTCCTTCCCCACCCCATCATGTCACTATTTATAATATTATACCCATCATTCGCAGACTCTTCTCAACCTTTAGAATTTATTTTTCTGGTACATGAGTCTGTAGTAAAAATCTCAAATTTTTCAACCAGTTGATTAGGGTCCTGGTCTTTATCATAACCTTTCCCTTTGATTTCATCCTTCAGTGGTAAAAGCTCAGCGATTACTTTCCTATATTTTTTACTTCCTTTCTGAACATCGACCGATCCTGTGGAACTATAATTCATTCTATGAGCAATAGTTTTTGTTAATATTATTGCGCCGAATGTTTAAGACCAGCACTGCCTGCTCTTTGTAATGAGCTATTATTCAAAATCGTATTTTGACGTGACACCGAGTTAGAAAATAGGAAAGGGAAAAATAGTGTCGGAAACCAAATGATAAAGTTTTGTTGAACATATGGATTAAAATATTTCAGACTCTAAAAATCAGATCTGCATATTGTAAGTGAAGGAAATTTTGAACATTTTATCCTCATTAAAATGAGCTATAAATAAAAATTGTATTTTTACATGACGCCGTGTCAGATAGCCGGGAACGGAAAAAGATAGGGCCATAAAAAAAAAAATAATAATGACTGTTTTGAACATTTGGACTAAAATATCTTAAAATTTAAATACCATAGAGAATTTAGAAACCGACTAGTAGAATTCATTATAGATATATTTTTTAATTACCTATAAAAATAAGATATTATGTTCCCGTTATACAAGTTATATTTAAAAATAATGGAGTTTTTTAAAAATATTTAGCAAATAGATTTCAAACTAGAGTATTTATCACGGATTTTAGTTATAATAAATTAATAAATTGATTGATAAATAATGTTGATCATTTTTAGAACATGATACAAACGGCAATCAGTCAGAGCAAAGTTTTTTAGATTAATTAATATACAATTATAATTGCATATAGTGTCAATGTTATTACTTTTTGATTATGAAACAATAAAAATAGTTTATACACAACTATAATTGTATGTATTCTAAATATTATTACTTTGTAAATATAGAACAAAAAAAAAATTATATTTCATGTTACGTCCAGAAAAGTTCGACATTCCGAACAAATAATTATTATTTTATAGCTATAAACTTAATGGCCTTCTTGCCTTCCACCATGTTCTGGCAGCTATGTAATACAATATTTATTTTATTATTTTTACCTTATAAAATAACACTAAATTTGAATATTTTCTGAAGATCAAATATTTTTAAAGGAATCTTGATGTTTTTTACGTTGACTCCATATAATGAATTGGCGAGTATAATTATTACTGAAACCGGTTTTGATCAAACAGCCACCAACGTGAGAAATGTATTTCTGCAAAGAGCGTTGGTTGTAATTAATCTTTCAAAAGGCCTTTGTTATGTCTGTAATATCGGATAGTTTTTCTGATATTTACATGATAACTTATATTTTTACTGTATTGTACATTTATGATTGATCTAATTTATTCATGGTGTATGAAAACGTGAGGTTGCGATATTTTTGTATCTGTTTTTTTTTCTTCAAATTTTTTAACTTTCATAAAATTTTGATAAGTGTTAGTATGTATTTAGTAGGTATAGATGATAGGAAATGCAAACTTCGTAACTTCATCACTTCATAAAAACTAGAGAACAAATAGAAATTTTAATGCACACAGACATTTATTATCTATGAACGACTAAAAACTATCTCGATATCTGTAGTAAATACTATTTATCAACTTATTTCTTTCTTCTACAAAATTTGGCAAAACTTAATTATGAGATATTTATTTATTGTCTTCGATATGAAGATTTAACTATAAATACAACAAAATTAGCATATATTTTGATTTGATCAAAGTATTGATTTCATATAAATTATTTATTTACATTCTTACATCAATCGACGTAAAATAAAGCAAATGGTCTATACCTATGTATATTATTATCATTATTATTACTGTCTGTATTATATATTTATCCTTATTGAAAGAGATTTTTGGATATGCAGCGTAAGCAATATTATTTCTCTTATATCAAGTAATTTTTATAAGATTTATTACTTTTAAGTGTTCACTCTTTTATTTTATTAGTTTTCATTGATTTATAAAATCATTTGTTTTACTTAGATTTCATCCTTTATTAAATATGAAGAAGATTATGAAACAGTTATCGATAAAGTTTTATATAGAATACTAATATTTATAAACATGAAAAACACTATCATATTTAAATAAAAAGTTAAAACCGATAAAATTACCTGCGGCTAGGACAAGAAGAAGAGGTTGCAGCCACATCTTGTTTACTCTGATCTGTTGGACTGGTTCTTTCAACTCCTGCCCCCACCTTTCTTACAGAAAAAGGGGATTCCCTTTGACCTCAAGATAGCCTCAAACAGTTATCGAATATATTATGATAAATTGATAAATAATTAGGGTCAACAATCGGGTTTCATAAAGGTTTTTGATCACAAAAAAACATTTATACTTACAACAGTTTGTGGCAGAGCTAGAAGAGAGGGCCTCAAAATATTGAGATCTCCACTAAATATCTCGGGTCAAGGCTTGTTATGACAACAATATCGATTTTCAAAAATGTTGAAAGTCGACATCAATATTATCGATACATCCACCGAAAAATATCGATGTTATTTAATTCTATTTTCTGTATCTAATAGTTATTTAAAAGCTGTTTATAATTGGTTTTAACATATTTTTTGGATCATTCAGTAATCTTTTTTTTTTTTTAAAGAAACAAATTTCATATTCATGGTATATTTAAAATGATCTAAAACAGATAAAATCAGAGTAATCATTGGAGAAATATATTTAAAAAAGAATTACTAAAACGCATGTTATTTTATATAAATCAAACCTGTTTGCCATACCAAAGCCGTTAATTTTAAAAATATTAGTTAGACCAGTCAACTAATTCTAGGTAACCAAAATATTAAAATTCGAAAACTGGATAGTGTACCGAAAAATAAGGTAAAAGTGTTTATATTTTGTGTTGAAGATATGTGTACAAACATATAAAAAACAAAAAAAGTTAACACGAGCTGACAGGAGAATTTAAAGCAACCAAAAAAACTTCTTGTTTAGGATATTTTTGGTTTCTCGCATCATTGTCTTTAATCTTCAATAAAAATTTAACAGAAAATAAATTTAGCGTAAAAAACGTTGTATTTTTAATTTTGTACTTACAAGCCATTGCAACGCGGCTTTTGATATATCGTTTTGTAAAGATCTAAGCCGTCGTGGTGTGTTTTGATACTTTCAAAATTTTGATATGTTAAAAAAATCATGTTTTAAAGTTGCCATACTTCGTCAAAAGAAATAAAATCAATGAAAGTACGGCAATTAAGTTTTAAAATGAGATAAGTACTAAACGGTTCATATAAGCGAAGAAATATTAATTTTTTTCTCAATTATCAAATAAATGTTGTTAAGGGATTTTTTTAGAAATAAATGATGGGTTTTACCAACTACGTCAAAAAACTGAGATATATTTCTATAGATAATTCTACAGTTGTGATGTAATAAACTTTTAATATCCTTGTGCTTAAATGATTTATTAAATTGTTATTTCGTAAATAATTTTAAAAAATTTAAATGTAAATCAAGTAAGTTTTTAGAAATATTTGCGGGCCCGATCCGGCCCACGGAACGAAGTTGAGATATGTAAATATCAACATGTACAGAATTAGTTATAATTGAGTTCGTTTGTTAAATATACCACATTTTAGCAAGACAATAAATGTGCTCCATATTATTCAAGAACAATCATTGAATACACAAAATTTATAAAGAAAATGAGCATGGTTGTACACATGGATGGGTTGGGGTGACATTGACCCCTTAAAATAATTTGAATATAAGAGGTTGTAAAAAGGTTTGACGTAAATTTTTATCTTGAGGAAAAGAATTTGGTAAATAGTTATTAAAAATTATTGTTCTGTGTATAAATAATATTTTAAAAAGAAATGGTGTCTTATCAGAGTTTCTCAATGAATATGATCTCATTATATTAAATGGATGGTCAGAATTTGATCCTGAGGGTGAACATATATATATATATATATATAAGATAAAGACCGGAGACTGGCGATATCAGCCTTAATACCATCTTGTAATGTAAATAAACATAGCAATTGTATATAAGGCAGATTATTGGACGAATAAAGCAGTGTTTATTCAGAAGCCGTGAGTATTGTTTCTCGTTCCTCTTTCCTTCTTTTTTTTTTATTTTTAAAGCCCGGAGACGCTTAACTGGTGCCGAAACCCGGGAGAACATCAGGAGAACACGGAAGTAAAATTTTTTTTTCTGTCTTTATTTTAATTTTTTTTTCTCTTCTCCTAGTCATAAGGAAAAGACGAGATGCCGACAGAGGGCATAATTCGACCAGGAGTGTTGAACGCACCTGAAATGCCGCAACCTCAGGAAATGCCGATAGCGCAGATTCCTCAGATCGCCCCTCAGGTTCCGCAGATTCCGCAGATACCTCAGATACCTCAGGTACCGCAGATACAAGAGATCCCTCCCTTACCTAGGGACACATTGGCAGAGGCGCATGCCAATGCATTGGAGTGGATGAAGATAAGGGCAGCGACCACGCAGGATCTACGGAGAGCAATCGCAGACCTGGAGCGATTCGGGGGCGAGATAGGTGAACTTAATCACTTCCTGAAAGGCGGAGACCGCCTCATATCAAGAATCGAAGCAAAGGTGGCGGAGGACCTCGTGAACCTGGGAGACGCAGAAGCACTGAAGGCAGCTCTCGTGTGCCGAGTGAGGAGGAACATCCTCAACCAAATCCAAGCGGACGAGGAGACACCATGGCCAGTGATTAAGGAGCGTTTGAAGAAGGCTTTCGGAGGGGGCCGATGGACGCCGGAAGAAGATATCTTCCAAATGTTTAGGGAGTGTCGGTCCCAACGCCAAACAAGAGGACAGTATGCGGGGGTACTAGTGGCGAAGTACAACCGCATAACTGAGAAAATGCGTGAAACCATGAGTGTGGGAGAGGTCGAGGCTAGGATGGAATTCCTTTCGACAATACTCAAGGTTCAGTTGGCTAAGGAGACTGGGAGAAGGGACGGACTGCCTAGAGAGCGATCGTTCCTCGAGTGTGCCCAAGAAATGATAGATCTGAGTGCAAGAGAGGAAGAGACGCGGATGGAAGTAGAAGAACCAGGGTGGACCCGAGTGAGTGACAGACGACCCCGGACAGCCCAGATAGGGTGGAGGAAGAGGGAAATGAAACACCCGAACGGAGAAAAAGCCACGACGGGCGAGAGAAGATCCGGACAGTCCAGGCCTAGGAATGGACCCCGGAGGGAAGACCGAAAATGTCACGGGTGCGGGAAACCGGGACATTTGGTAGCACAATGTCCGCGCACTAGATGTTTCGAGTGCGGGACTGAAGGGCATATTGCCAGACAGTGCCCGTACATGTTTCGCAGGAGAGAGAGACCTCTAGACGAGCCAATGGAGGTGAACGCTCAAAAGTTGAAAAAACGAGCTAGGATGCAGCAGAGAGACGGATCTTCGGAAGAGGCAACCGAGGAGTCGGGGACGTCGGGAACGGAGACTGACGAGCCAGCCAGCAGTGGAGGCGAAGGAGGCAGGAGCAGCCAACGGAGCGAGCAACGACGAGCGACGGCGGTAAGGAGGAAGCGAGGTGGCATCTGAGAAGGGTGTCAGCAGAGAGGCGACCGCACAGCAACCTGCAACAATATTAGAGGTAAGCCATGCTGGTTGCCGATTATTGAAGTAGATGGGGGAGTGAAGTGTCTCGTGGACACAGGGAGCTCGAGTACTATCTTGACTCGGGGGGCGTTGGGGAGAGTGTGCGGGAGCGAGAGGGTACTCCGGATACAAAACTGTGGCTGCCAGCTAATCACTCTGGGTGGTCCCTGTAAAGTAGAAGGGGAAGCGTCAATTACGCTTGACCGGTGGGCAGGGAAAAAGGGGGAGCTAAGGGTGCATGTGGTAGAGAGCATGGCGCGGGAGTACCAAGTCATAATAGGGTGTGATCTGTTAGGACAGGTAGGGGTAAGCATTAGAAACCGTAGAGGAGCTTGGAGTATCAGGCTGGGAAAGAGGAAATTTGGATGTATAGGGGTCGCGAGAGAAAGAAGGGTGCGGATAGGAGCGGTGAACAGGGTGGAGGACTGGAGAAAGGCGTTACAAGCGGAGTTCGTAGATATTTTCTTCAGGGAGGGCGAGGTATTGGGGGTAACAGGGAAGACGGTACACGAAGTTCCACTGAAGCAAGATAGGGTGACCTACGTAAAGGAAAGGAGATACCCGCAGGCGATGAGGCAGCATATTCGGGAGGAATTGGAAAGCCTGAAGGAGCAAGGGATCATAGTCGATAGCACCTCGCCATTTAATAGTCCCCTGTGGGCAGTGAAAAAGAAGCCAGCGCCGGGGGATAATAAGGAAAAATACAGAGTGGTAGTGGACTATCGTAGGTTGAACGACAACACGGTAGACGAAAAGTACCCGATCCCTAGATTCGAAGATATACTTGATAGGTTGAGTGGGGCCGTGGTGTTTAGCACGTTGGACCTCAAGGCGGGATGCATACCACCAAATACGGATGCACCCGAAGGACCAACATAAGACGGCGTTTACATTCGAAAGGGGGCATTACGAATTCACCAGAATGCCGTTTGGTCTGAAGAATGCGCCCATAACGTTTCAACGCCTGATGGACTAATTTCTGAGGGGGATCGACGACTCCGTATGTCAAGTATACATGGACGACCTGCTGATTTTTAGCAGAACGGAAGCCGAACACGTGGGGCATTTGAGGTCGGTATTCGAAAGGCTGCGACAATTCGGGCTGAAACTGTCAAGTGAGAAGTCCCTGTTGGGACAAACGCGAATCAATTTTTTAGGCCACACTATTTCTAGCGAGGGGGTTAGACCGGATGCGGCAAAGGTGGAGGCTATCACACGAATGGCGGTGCCACGGGACGTTAAAGGGATTCGTAGGCTTCTCGGGACGCTGAATTATTATAGGAGATTCGTACCTGAGATGGCAGAATACTTGGTACCTATCAATAACTTGCTGAAGAAAGGCGCGAGGATCGTGGTGACACCGGAAATGGAAAATAATATTCGGAAATGCATGGATAGGTTGCAGGCAGAACCCGTATTGGCGTTCCCGGATTTTGAGAAGCAGTTCAACGTCACCACCGATGCGAGCGAATACGCGTTGGGGGCCGTTTTATCCCAGGGCAGAAGTGAGGGTGAACGTCCGATAGCATACGCGAGCCGACGACTTACGAGCGCGGAATCACGGTACAGCGCGTTAGAGAGGGAGCTACTCGCGATAGTGTGGGCCATCGACCATTTCAGGCCATATATATTTGGGAGGAAGTTTCGAGTCCACACCGATCACAAACCCCTTCAGTGGGTAGGAAAACTTAAGGAAACCTCTGCGAGGGTCACGCGATGGAAAGAATTCCTTAGTCAGTACAACATGGAGGTGGTGTATAAGCCGGGAAAGGAAAACGTGGTGGCAGACTGGCTCTCTAGGGCCATCATGATCAACGCGGTAGAAGAGGACGGAGGAGGTCCATCGCGGGACGTGCGCCA